ATGGAAGTGGGCAACCGAGTTCGTTTCTAGGATATTCGTCTAGACAGCGATGATTGAGCCGTGCGTTCAGGACTCTCTTTGAGGAAAACGAGCGCTCCATTAAAACACGACGATTATCAGCGAATCAGTCACCGGCACGGGACACGAAACGTGATGGAACGTTGACCGTTTTGGGTAGCCACGACCACCAACTCAACGGTTCTCTGCCTATCCTGTCTGCGCCCCGATTTCGATAGTTGCAGCCGCCAGGGTGTCTACCACTACCAGTTATGAAAAACCAAAATTGGGGACTTTCGGGGACTTTTTTCAAGAAATCGGGGACTTTTCCCCCCGAAATAGTAAGAGACAAGGAGCTAGTTAGAGCGTTAAAAGGCGTATTTTATACGGCTAATTTTGCAAGTAATGTTGAACCGATGAAAACATACGAAAACCAAGCAAGACTTCAGTTTTTTTATTCCTAGTTATACCGCGCCGCCACGGCTGGCGGGAAACTTAGAAAATACCCGAGTTTAAGACGATTTTTGTCAGTTATTGGGGACCTGAACAAGAAAATTGGGGACTTTCGGGGATATCGGGGACACCGAGACACCCTCCCAAAATCGGGGACATTGGGCGACTTTTGGGGACCGGTAGACACCCAGGCCGCCCAAAATTCGTGCAGTCCGCCCTTCAAAAATAGTTGATCGTTCATCGCGAAGTTTAGACACATTTACAGAAATCGGACCGAGTATAAGGTGGTTCTTCGGGACTTTTGAGGGCGATTCAGTAGTCGATAGGTAGATCAATTGGACTGCATTTTGCTACTTGGAACTATAAATTCCTGCCCGATTTAAAAACAACGTATGTGCCATTAGTTTCCCTATGCACATAAGTGTTTTTCCAGAAGAGCCAGAATTTATAGTTCCAAATTGCAAAATGCAGATCAGGAACTATTATTTCTTGCTCAGTTTAACAACCACGTATGTACCCTTACTTTTCCGATGGGTTTTAACAGATGAGCCAAAAATTATAGTTCCGAATTACAAAATGTAATGAAATTGATGATTTCTGGAACTAAGGAACGGACAGTTCGTCTTTTCTCGGACGAAGGAACGTTACTCTATTCAAAGGTTGCAAAACTGACTCGAGCAATTGAATATTTTACAATAATGTACATGTGCAATTTATGTCCAACATGTTTCTGATTTTCTAGGAAGATCAGATATCAGTGAAATATTCAGTTAGAAAAAAAACCAAGATTCTCTTGGTACTTAAAAATGCAATTTGCGAAGGGAAATTTGACAACATTGAAATGTAATTATGTTTTTACGCGGGGGAGACGACGATTTATTTAAAATTTTCGGGCATAACATTATGCTGTAGTAACTCAGGTATTCGTACAGAACATTTGCCCGAGCAGCAATTTGAAATATCTCCTAAAGAACGTCCCAAAGGAATATAGTAAACTGCTGCTTCCCGATTTGCAATTTGCAAGACGTACTCTCCACGCTGTTTCAAGATGGTCCTCGGTCAAATTTTGTAGGAGCATACTTGACATACTACAACGTGATGTGATGCATGGAAATTCAAAGTGAAAATTTACAAAAACCATCAAATGCTCGATGATCGCCCATCGCGTCCGCAGAATCTGCAGACTAAGGCTGCCGCTATTACTATTTTCCAATTATCCTGACAGAGCTACGTAACTATCCAAGAAAAAGTGAAGAATAAACCAGAGTGCCACCAAAACCAATTTCCCATTTCATTGGCTGAATTAGCGAAAACAAGTTGAAAAAATAGTCAGTTCAGCAGGGTTCCTTACAGGCCAATCAGCTGAAATAGCGCCGCTTACAACCGCATACTAATTCAACAATCTGCAGGACTGATCTATGTCAATGTCAATATCAATATCTTTATTTTCGGTGTAGGCATTTTTCGTTTTTGCATATTTGTCCCAAAGAATAGCCACTATCAGTGGCACGAATTAGAAAAAATCGATATATATCGCTTGTCTGTGACGCAACACTGATAGCGCCCTTTACAGGGTCAATCACACGGACAGTGGTGCCAGATTGCGAGCGAGAATTCTTGTACCACGTGAGGCACTTAAAACACCCGATTTGACAACTATGCAAATACGTTTGACCCGACCTTCGCATAACAGTGCGCGAATACTACATGAAATATGGAGATACGTAAGCTATTATCCCGGTTCGAACTCACGTGAATTTTCTCTAACGTCAACTGGCACCCACACATGATGCGAGTTTTGATGAGTGTTTTAAGAATGCCGTAAGCTGGCTCTCAAACGTGATTGGCTCCTGAGATGAACAACTTCAGTGGAATTTCGATCAAACCTCTAATACAAAGCAAAAAAACGAAACGGGAGATTTTGGGTTAGAAGACCAACAGGAATTATGCATTTGGATGTGCCTTTTCACTAGCATCAGTAAAAACTACAATTTTTTTTAATCCACACCAGATCAAAATCCCTATCTTTCAAATAAAAAAAAAATTGAAATTAAAACGCATAAGCTTAACTTTCCGAATAATCTTATGCAAAGCAAAAGGGAGACAAAGATGAACAACAGGGGGGGGGGGGGGCACAATTTTTAAAAAAACCATTGATTGCTTGCATTTGGCGGTAATGGGCCAATGGCTATGATTGAGGATCATAAATTTGAAATCGATGCTTATCAACTGTAAAATAAATTTGAACACAGAAATCCAGCATGGTAAGACTTGTATCATTTCTGAAAAATTAGCTGCTACTTATACCTAATTCGTAAACGGGCGAAAAATTTGGAAAAACGGCTCAACCTTGAAATCTAAATAAGATGAACAATTGAAAAAAAAAAGGCACTTAAAAGAATGGCCTGGCAACCCCAAAAATGCTTCCTTTTACAAAATGTGCTCAAACTAGGAATGGTCAAATATTTCAATGATCGGATATTTAATATTCGAAATATTATCACCGAGATGATCACATGACAACCGAATGTTGGTGAAAGTAGGTATTCGAATAATTGATTATTATTCGATTAATATTAAAAAAGGTAAAACTGCAATTGTGTTTGTGAATTGGTGAATGAACGGTGTGTGAAGTCGGAACGGGATTAGCCTTCCAGGCTAATTGAAAAAAAAAAATTCCTATTACTTTGCCTCCTATAGTTCAAAATTACGAGGTTGAAGTATTCCCCTCCAGACCTACAGACCAATCAGTGCATACCTACATGCCCTGGGGTCCAAGTTACCACCAGCATGGTTCGAAAAAAGTCCATTCTGTGGAAATACTTAATCCAAAAGTGCAAAAAATAGAGCCCTGTGCAAGCTTTGTTCCACCACCCTGTTATATTTGCGGAGCACCGTTACAAAAAAATGAAAAATCGGAGCAATGATCTGAAAGATTCAAATATTCACTTCAAAGTACATTCGAAATTGCGAGCTTCAATTTTTCAAATAATCGCAATCGAAAAGTTTCGAATATTAGAATAATCGCAAGCGATTCGATAATCGTCCATCCCTAGCTCAAACATAGCCATTTCAAAAATCTGTACGAACCCTAAAAATTCAGCCTGCATATCAGATGGCCCCTAAAATTGTAGGCTTAAGTATAGAGAGGAAACAAAAGCTTTCTCCAGCGTCACCAATCAGTAAACACTGTTACTAAATGACTAATATGAATATTCTGAAAAATTCACTTTATAGCCTCACTCATTTCGAAATTGTGACAGAGAAAGTTTGATTTATATGGATTATTCAAGAACACCAAGAAAGGAACTTTATAAAAAGATTTTAAGCAGTCATACAGAAAATTAGCCGAGGCTAAGTAAGTCCTTTGGTTTTCTGTGCAGGGTCCAGTGGCGTAGCTAGGAATTTTTGAAGAGGGTGGGGATCTATTTACATTGTTTAGGGTACATTTCAGATAATATTTTATGTCTGCCCTCCAAAAGTAAAAAAAAGGTACAAATAACCAGGCTGGGGGGGGGGGGGGGGCGGCGGCAGACCTCTTGGATCCCCCTTGTCAACGCCGTTGACAGGGTCTTTATGTGAATCAACGAGGGGACAAAATGCTGAGGAAGTGAAATGAGAGGTGAATATTGTGAACCTAACAAATCAGAACTTCTAGGTCCAGGGCATTATAGCAAGTTACATGATTTAAGATAAACTGAGATCAGAGAGTTCTCTGCATTTAATTTGACCTACTTACATTTCACTGCAGTTTTGATTAAAAGGGAATTAACACATTACATCTAATTGGAACCGTTCAGGCTCTAATCGAACCTTCCTTTAAAGATGCACGGATATCAAGAAATTCAATGAAACCGTTTAGCGCTGAGCCAAGATGAACTGGTTTAGGATCTATCAACTAAGGTCTGATTTCAGCACTATCACTTCAAAACTATTTACATGTCGGTAGATTCAGAACTTGCAAATAATATGAACAGCAGAATAACATTCAACAGTTATATTATGCGACTTCGTCATGACTCACAAATGGGAAGACTATACTATAGAACGCCCCTTCATTATCAATTAAAAATACTGTTTGAGGTGCGATTACAAGCAGGAAGGTACATGGAAGTTCATGCTGGGGTAGAACGGAGTGAGGTATGATACCGATATCGAGCTCTGGTACTAACTTGAGATCTTCTCATCCCAATGTTGGTGTGATAGCGAGTGGCAGCGAAGGTCAAGTTTGACAGACCGTGAAAAATGTATTTCTTCAGCCATGAATGCTGTGGCGGAGTGTTGAGGCCACATAAAATTTTGCTCTGGCAGGGCGTCAAACCCTGATGGATTCACATGGACAAGAGGAATTAGCACAGCATGCAATGCACTAAAATGTGGTGTCAAGGGGGATTCAAGAATGATCAGTTGGCTAGCTCTGAGGAGGGTTATGAGGTACCTAACAATTTTTTCTAGAAAGCTCCAACTATCTGAAAGTAGAATGGATCTGAGCTACAGATAATAATATGTGAGTAAGGAGGAGGTGATTGTAAGTAAGAAATCAAACATACCTTTTGCCGGTAAAATACTAAAAATGGCGAGACCGCCCTGAGTCACTCCTTTTAATGCGTCACTCTCAACAACACAAAATTGTTAACGTTGATAAAACGAAACCCCCACAAAACTAATGAGTAGAAGAAAACAGAAGTAAAAGTAATGTCACTGTCCAGATGATAAATTACTCACATTTATACCAATTTCCAAACACTTTAACCGATTTCTTGACGACCGCACGGGCTCCTGACATTAAACTTTAGCACTTTAGGTTGCAAACTGACTGGATTTCTTCGAAAAGAGGGGTTCTCACGACGGGAAACACGATGAAGAGGGGGAAAGTTGCGGTAGATTTTGCACATACCGCGGTAGATAAACAAAGTCACTGTTACTTGGTGATTTTTCGTGCTGAATTTCGGTTGCATCGATGATCCACGTGAGGATTTTGTTATTGTTTGAGGTTAGGCATGGTTTAATCTGGAAGCCCATGCTTTTAAACCGATTTCACTTGACTCATTGATCCCAATTTTGTCTAACTTGTCCTCTCAAAATGTCTAGGAAACTTCGGAAATTACAAGGTATTTGCTCAAAATTTATTCCGTCTTTTCAACTTTTGTAAGAATCTAATGGTTACATTTTATATTCCGTGAAGGTGCAGATCGCCCCTCGGTCTCTCGCAGGCTTTGGAGGAATACTTCCTCCCTTTCCAAAGTATTTCCAAGTTTTCAATTGCTGGACTTTCACAGAGATTCTTTGAGTATCTGGGAATCTCTAGAGTCCTCTCTCTCCAAGAATGATTCAGTGCGCAAGAATTAGACAACTCTAATACAGTCCACTATGTCTCCGTTTATGCTGTACCCAAGGTACTACCCCAATTAACGGAAGAAGTCATGTATGACAGTAGCATCGGAAATTGTAAATATTAATTGTGCATCCAATGGTAGTCAAATCTAGTTTCAAACACAGGAACCTACAGAATTCAATTTTTGTGCACTTCATTTCAGTATTTCAAGATCGTTTAGGAAAGATGTAGGATGGGAGCATTCTGAGCTTGAATTTCCACATCATCTTCTCCTTTGACTTAATTGTTGCAGCAAGAGGTTTTTTTAGAATTTTTTCAACTAATGATTACTCTTGTAGATTTTCAGATTCTGTAGGCTAATGTTACTCTGAAGATTTCATTCCAACTTCCCACCAAATTTGCGCTGCTAACTGTTTAGAAAGGTGGACTGAAAGTTAATATGGATGACAGATTCAAGTATCTGTTCCACTTTTCATAGGACAAAAGATTGAGAAAGGTTAGACAAAAAGTTTGACCATCGGAATTAACGTTTCCTTAGCTGCAGCCAAAAATTTTCGGGAGGTGATGGTATGAAAGCATTAAAAGCGATCCTACCACTTTAGTACTATCGCTTTAAATATTGTACTCAACGTGTAAAATGAAGACACATAATAGTTTTAAATGCTAGTACAAATGTTTCACCCCTTTTTTTTGTCTTCTTTCAGAATACAAGTTCACTGAGGTAAAGAAAAAAGGCAAAGAACTGAAAAGCAAATTAATCAATGAAATACGGAATGCATTGAACGATTATGAACATATTTTTCTCTTTAATCTAATCAATATGAGGAGTAACAAAGTCAAAGAGCTGAGAAATCACTGGAAGAAAAACAGCAGGCAAGTCAATGCTTTTTCACAACTACTTTTTAACGAATAAACTTAAGAAAATAAGCATTTATAATTTCCTATTTTCTAGAAATGTGCCCTCTTAAACTCATTTTTGTGAATGGGCTTAGAGCCTGATCATGGAGTACTAAATTAATCTGACCTTGTTTCTTTGAAAATTGCTCTGGTGTAGGGTAACAGAAAAACTTACACAAAACTAGTGCCTGAGTAATGCGGATAAAGTTGAAGAATTTTCTCAGTACTGCTGCCTGACTGTTGAAATTTTTTTTTGTCGGGACAACATAGATGACATAGGTTAAAAGGTGGAGCTATGTTCGGCTATGTCTTATCACTGCTTTGTCGTGCCTATGTCGGGTTGAACTGATGACAAGCTAACGGCACCTCTTAAGTCTCCGACAGTATGTCGTCCATTCCACCTGACAAAAGGCACGACAAAGCAGCGAAAAGACATAGCCGACCAATCACGCTTCGCCTTTTAATCTATGTTATCTATGTCGTCCCCACAAACAAAAAATTTCAACAATCAGACTGCTGAGCTTAAAAGATGGCCATGTGGCAAATTTATACTCAAGAGCAACGTCTGTTTGGACAAGTTATAAAAAAACATAAATTTTGAAAGGTCCGGTATGAAATAAGTCTTGGAAAAAGATGAAGAAAAAGCCTCGGAGGCATGCAATTTTTATGAATAATATATCATATCATGGGTCTATAAAATCACAGTTCAATTCTGCATATTTCAGTCCATTCCTCTTGAATTACTTTGTTCTACTTTCCAAAGCAGCCTTTATTTGAATAGAAGTAGAGTTTAGTTTAATTCAAATGATATCGCACTAAATGCATGAAAAATCACATGGTTGACTGTGAGTTCAATTGTTTAATTTTTGCAAAATGAAACAACAAGAAAATACTTCAGGGCTCTCCTGCTAAATGACATTTATCATGATTCAATTGATGTATTTTTTCAGGTTTTTCTTTGGCAAAAGCAGGGTAATGGCTGTTGCACTGGGTCGCACAGCAGAGGCAGAATCACTAGAAAATATCCATAAAATAGGAAAACGCATCAAGCCACACTGCGGCCTAATGTTTACGAATGAGTCCAAGGAAAAAGTTATTGAGTTAGTATACATTTTTACTTAAAAAAAGCACCTCAGTCTTATCAACTTTCTAGATGGACCACTATAATCGAATTCATCTGTGAATCCATAAAAGTGAAAAATAGTTTTGGAAATAAATTCTAGGGATACAGCCAGACCATGGAGTTTTTCAATTAATGACCATTAACTGGAAAACTCCCTGGTCCGGCTATATCCCTAAAATTTATTTCCAATATTAAAAAAACCACGCAATATGCAGCTTAACTTATTTGAAAAATAGTTGTTTGGATGAGTTTGGTTCACAAGTACTTCCATGTTATTTTGACATTGGGCCAAGCCACATCAATCTAGGAGTTGAGTGCATGAGCATCAATCCTCCAGGAACTTGACAATCCCCCCCCCCCAACNTCCTTCCAGGTAAAAATTTCAACAATTTTGTCAAATGGAGGAAGGTGAAGGTTCCTAATGACAATTGATCTGTTGCAAATAAGAAATACAGTCAACTGAATGCTTTTTTTACGGGAAAATTCGCTTGAGAATCATGTTGGGCACATCAAAACAGCGTGAAATCCATTTCTTAGTGCGCCATCTGTGTAGTTTGTGACTTGCTTTTTCAAATTTACTGCATATGCGGGCAGTCCTTGGTGGCTGGCAGTCGGGTTTGCTGGAAAAGAGACTTAACCTAAATAAACACACAATCTTGAAAACTGTTATAAACCTTCCTCCTGAAAGATTTCAATTGATTGAAAGCTTTTGTTTTTGCAAAACAAAGAAAAAAAAAGGAAACAAACGCTTGAATACAAATAAAATCATACGATAGAGAAAGTTGGTTAATCGCTTGTTTACTATGGGTAGTACTTTCTCATTCCTCTGCTGGTGCAAACCTGGTTAGCGGTGACTGAGAAAAACTGCCTGCAGATGCGGGACACTTGTAAAAGCCTGTTTCGAATTATGCATGTTACGCGCTAAGGAGCAGATTTCAGACTTTTTTGATGTGCCCAATGTGATTCTTGAGCGCATTTATCCTTACAAAGAGGATACAGTTAGCTGTATCTAATACAGAGATGCATTATGTGCAAGAGACCCATTGGCAGCGCACAAAATAATCCTCCCTGCCACCCCTTTGAAGGAATTTTCTGAAGGCTGCTTTGAGTTTTGATGTTGAAAGTTGTTGTTCTGAACTTTCCCCTCTCTTCACATGTCAAGCAACTTTGTAGCTAGCCAATGAAGGGTTCTTTATCCTTGCTAAAGCCAAGAATCATCATAAATCTGTGCATCAATAAATTGTCTTACTTCTTTTTGAATACAAGAAAAAAAAAATCAACGCAACTATTCTGCACTTTTTAAACTTTTACAAGCCAGAATTTCCTCACAAACTCGCCTACTTCCTCAAGCCATGTGAGAGACGAGTCGCATGCACTTAACATTTTCTGCACCCTTGTATTCATAGCTCTTCCATTTCTATTGTTCAGCTAAATTTCTTAAAGTTATGGATGACTATCAAAATTATGGAGACTACATCAAGCAGCCTAATCACTAATTCAGATATGAAGTTGGCCCAAATTCTCGTATAAGATATTATTATTTTTTTTTTGCTCTCTAGTTTCTGTGTAATTCATTTCTGATCTTGTGTAATCAATGCTGAATCTCTCTAATTTCAGTTGGTTTAAACGTTACAACATGTCAGAGTATCCAAAAGCTGGATTTATCCCTTCTTCTACTCTAACTTTACCCGCCGGAGATATCCCAACCCTAGGAGCCTCTCAAGAACCTTATTTACGAGTCAAATTAGGCCTACCAACACTCCTAAAGAATGGTGTAATTCATCTACTAAGTGATTATACCCTTTGCAAGAAAGACAAGCCAGTCAGTCCGGAACAAGCAAAATTGTTGGTGAGTTGTTTTTTTTTTAAATGGTAAAGTTTCCACTTTCACCAATTTTCCGTGGGTTAAGCTGTGAAAATATCTCCACCATGCTTGCTTTCTTAAATGCCTCTTAATAGAGAAGGCCGAAAATAGAAATGTCGATATTTTGAAAAGAAAGTAATCGATACTTTGGTAAGAATTCGTAATGGTACTCTTAATGGGTATCAATAATCGAACCTCAGTACTGATTTGTCAATATCGCTCATACATAAGTTGATTGCATGAGGAATAAAAATTTATGTGAAGAAAGAAAAAAAAAGATAAAGAAAAATGAGAAATAAAAAAGTATAAATCCTCGCCGGTTTACTGCAAGTTGATGAGCGGTTTAAAAACTTTCATGATTTAAATTCTGGTGAAATGTTGGTGGGAAAAAATGGTTTAGTGTTGTTAATAATTTAAAACAATTTTTGGAGTTTTCAAGAAGAAAGAGGCCGAAGATAAACCTTCAAAATCTCCACCTCCATAGAATCTTCTCTCTTTGGCTTCTCCTTAATTAGACCAAAGGAGAATGCAGGTAAAGTGTTATGTTGACTGCATTTGACAGAAAAGAAACGTCAAATTTTGGGGAAAAAACGCACTAGAGTGGTTTTGAGCATTGTAAGCAGCACATTTTCTCCTGTTAAGAATTATAATCGAGTAAGAGTATTTTCACTGTACAAAAAGGTGTTCAACTTTGTATCAAAAATTGAGTTTAATGAAGGAATATAACTTCAAATCTCTTATTCCCAGTTTGAACTTGGTTCCTCTCTGTCTAACTCAGATCATTCAACAATCAACTAGACTTCTCGAAGGAGAAAAAATAAAAAAATAAGTAAAAGTAAAAAAAGAAGGAAAAAAAAAATATTGAGCTGCCAACCAATGAAATCAACATGTGGTGTGAAAAAATATCAAGGATATTCAAGAATTTTCAAAGACATTTCAAACCCTGTCTCATGCTTTCTTAATTGCTGTTACCTATTCATTCTAGATAGCCTCATTTAAATTCTTTTCGTTTCTTTTTGTTTTTCAGAAACTGTTGGGTCACAAAATTGCAACTTTCAAGATTAATTTAAAGTATGTCTGGTCGAGAGATGGCACTGTAGAGTGTTTGTACGATAAAGAAAATGCAAGTAAACTTATTCGATCTCAAATCTCTGACAGCAATGAGCAAGAGAGTGATGACGAAGAGGCAATGGAACTTGTTATAACAAGTGATGTAGATGAAGAAGATGATAATGAGGAAGATGATGACAGTGATAATGATGAGGAAGATGAAAATGATGATGACTGAGTTATGTGTTGCTGTGCCGAATTATGTTGTCTGTACATATTATTTCCTCCAGCGTATTACCATGAATGTGTGGTATATACGTTTTCTAAAGATTCTTAGACAAATTTTAGATCTATTTATTTTTTAAAGGTCTATGATCTTGTTCTACTTTTTCTTTCTTGTAAATATTTTTTTTAAAAAAAATAAATTTCTTATTTTATTTTATAAAGTTTATGTTTTTTATTGTTTACTATGATATCCCTGTTCAAGTATGACCGTTAACAGAAGAGGAACCCTTAGGGTTGTTTCTAAATTAAATCAAGCTCAAATTTTGAATCATTGTAGAAAGTTGGAGGAGGCCACCCTTGAAAAATACAGCTCCACAATTCCTTTCTGAAATCAGTTTCAGCAGCCTCACATAATTGTCAATTAAGAGTTTATATTTTTCTCTGTTGGATTAGTAAGGATTAATTTCCTCACCCTAAATGAATCTGAATAATTTTAGAGTAGAATTAATTCAGTGATTAAAGAAGTAAACTAAGAATAGCTTTACGATATTTACTCATATCAACGCCTAGAGAGGCAAATTACGCACCTCCACGGTAAGGTTTCGAACTTTCTGCTCCTATCCTCTTCTTTATAAATATATAAGTCAACTTTACAGCTTGAAATTCACGGAAAATATTCTGCTTACAGAGAAGAAAAAAAAAGAAAGTTTCCATGAAATTACGTTGATTATTTTCTCAAAGAGGAAATATAGTATGACAGGAGTCAGTAACGTCGCAAATGGAGATAAATGGTTTCACACTTGAACCATTGATATTTTGATTAGGGATTCGGGAAATGGAATGGTCAGATAATTTGGAATGAAATGAGTTGAGAAAAAATGCCAGATTCATATAATACAAATTAAAATTTTATTTTTAATGATACAGACTAATCTCCTCAAATAATATTTTCAATTTAATGCTTAGATCTGCATTGACAATTAGCCATGATCAGAAGAAAAATCTTATAACAATAAAAATGAAAGGTGGATTATTTTACAGGCTTGGAGATTTGGGAATCAAAATACCATTTTACAATTGATACAGAACACTTAGAAAATTTAACAGCCACAAGTACAAGAAAGAAATAAAAATTAAGTTAAAAATTAATCATAAAATAAAAAGTACAATAAGACAAAAGCGTATGATACCTTGTCCTGATATTATAACAGTCAAGGATAAAAATTTCAACGTAACCCACCAAAAGAACTTGCAACAAATAGAAGAGAAGTAGAAAAAGCGTCTTCCCTTGTTCGGATAGAATATTTTACAAGATGAATCAAATTTCAGGGGAAAAACAATCAATTATCAATGGAAGAAATAATCTCTTTTGAAGGATAATGGTTAACTAAAATTGAACAAGTCGGTTTTGGAGGTTAAACGAGAAGAAACATTAAAGATCCAGCACAACTTGATCCATATTGACTGCTAAGCCTTCCACCTACTCTCCCATATTTGCACCCGCTTCCAGAGAACTGAGGCAACTTCCAACTGCGGGGCAGCGCTAGGCAACAAGGGTTAAAAAAAACCCCTAGCATCTAAATAAGTCTAAAAAATGAATACTGACTGGTTAATAGGTACATGAGACTTCAGAAAATCAAAACTAAGAAAAATGCCACATCAAGAGTTAATGGATGGAATCGAAAGTAAAAAAATTTAGAGAGGAAAGCAGAAAAAAATAAGTTAGCATGGAGCCAACTTAATAACCTAACATGAAACAGAAAAAAGACCCACTGGAGTGATGAAAGGGAGGGTGGAGAACACAATATAGGAGTAATATGAGCGTGCATCCTAATAATTTACCTGCCTTATTCGAGAAGTTTGCCCATGAGTAAGATAGGTATAACAAGGCATGCTAAGTGGCCAAGGCGGCTTCAGTTGTTGGCGAAACGATCATAAAATAATAGATTGAACACATGAGCGAAGAAGATTAGTGTTGATATCGCATGATAAAGTAACGAAAACAAGGTCTTAGAATATTTTTTTCTCACTTTTAAGAGAAAATAAGATAAATGTCAAAAAGCTGAATTTAGGCTTGCTGTATTGTGAGTATCAATAAAAATTTTGGACAGACTGTTGGGGCTTCAGCAGTATGCGCCACAGAACATTCTAACAAAAATTGACATCACAAGAGATCACAAAAACTAGCCAATTACATTATTCAAATGCATTCCGAACTAATCTTAAGTTCTCCTAAAATGAAAAAAAAAAAGACAGAGAAAAAATCGGTTCTAAGGCTAAAATAAACTGGAAGGGTGCGCTGAACTTTAAACTATCTGCTCAGTGCAATGGCAACAAACAGACATTGTGATAGTAAACCGTAGTAAAGAGCTCTCTTTAAAATGAGGTACTGTGAGATGTACAGTGCTTATTTGAAGTAAAAAAAGTTCACCTGCAAAATAACTTCCACTTGATCAAAAAAGAACAGTTACTAAGAAACAAAATATAATTGCTAGATGGCAGGCGATGTACCAGTCCAAAATCATAAGAAAGCGAATACAATCACAGTTAAATGTGAAGGGATAAAATTAAGATTAAATTTCAGAAAATTGTGCAGGCTCATCTACACTTTACAGAGAATATGCTTCTCGGACCGGTTTCCTCCAAACAAGTTCTTCCAGGTACTAGCAAGGATCTCACCGGTTATAGTTAACTGGTTAGAACGCATGATATCCAGGCTTCTCTTCCCATTTCCTAAATACCAGGGCACGATTGGAACAAATTTAAAAATCTAGTACTTAAAGAGTTCAACAAAAATCATAATTAGGTAAAGGACAAGGCTTTTTCCCCCACTCTCATTTTCATTCCTATTCAATGGACGCAGATTTTTGATCAACTTTACACTTAATAGTTGACTAAGAACTTAAAAATCCTAACATTCATCATTTGAGAAACTTAGTAATGAACTAACGATAAAGAGTCAAATGAGAAGTGTCCTATTGGAAAATTTATCCTTAAAACAAACCTAAAAACGAGCATCAGTAATTCCACCCACTGATATTGAGTGGTATTTGAATCCAGTTAACCTACAGTTTATTATATGAATTGAGTTGTTACAGGTACTTTTTACAAACGGCATGAAAGTAAAAATTCAATCCAGGGTAGATCACGAGGAACAAAATTAAGCAAAGTTGAGGCATTCACAGATAAAAACATCAGAAGTACTTAAAATATAAGTATGAAACAATAAATTAGGAAGTAATTACTCGGTAAAAAGTATGCAATCCTCAAAATTTACACTTGCTTTGACTGATTTTGGCTAATGAACACCTCAACTGCGCAAACACACTCGCTCTTGATACACAGACACACTGTTCCCGAATAAGCAAACAGTAACGCAAAAATAGCCTAAGTCATTAATTACAAAACAAATTGGATAACATTTAGATTAGAAGATACGTTTGATCATGTCATTCATTCGATATACGTCACTATCATACAGGCAGGATTGAATGCTGGGAGGTTCGTGGCAGAGTAGGAGAAACTGGAAATCTCCTGATAAATATTCAAAGTATACTAAGGAGGCAAAAAAATAAAATCGAATAATTGCAAAATTTAGCGTAGATCAGTTTGAATCCAAGGCAGTAACTTCTCACATAATCTTTGGTGGCAGACTAACTTTATTAACAATGAACAAAATGCTAGCTAACTTTAAAGAGAAGAAAAAAGGAAAGTCAAGAGTCGACAATGATAAAATGATGCTAAAGTAAAATTATAAACACCTTGTTTGTACAAAATTGGATTTCGGGGATATTCTGTTCGGTCTCACTAAGCGAAATACATCACTTTTTTGGTATCAGCGTGGACTGTGATGGCACGAGCCATAGCACCAGGTGTTCTATCTTCACTGCAACCAGAATGGTGTGATCCTTCTCCACTGTAAAAAAAGAGACAGTAAATAAACATTAATATCTCTTATCTTCGGATTGCATATGTTGTTAAAATGTTGAGTGAATTAAAGTGCAACCTCTATTTTTCTCTTCATGCTAGAAAGAACTCCACACCATCCTTATGAGAAGTCCCCCCCCCCCCCCCCCCCCACTACCCGAAGAACCCCGCACCATCCTTATGGGAAATGGCTCCCCCAGTAAAACCTGATGAAACTTTGATATGTTGCTGAGCTAGTCATTCTGATCAAAAGCTCTTGCGGGCCCAATGAGATCCCATAAGCGGTTTTCGAGATATTCGCCGTTTTATATGCATGAACGGAGGTGCTACCGGGCGGACCAATTTGCGGCACAAGGCTTCGCTCATCGGCAGCGGCCCAAGTGGTCTTATCTGAGTGGTGATAGTTATAATAATAATGTTTCACTAGATTTTACTGGAAGGGGGGGAGGGATTTCCCATGAGGATGGTGCGGGGTTCTTTCCATATTTTTCTTGCAGTGTGCTCAGCGCTCACAAGTACCCGGGTTTCTACTTTTTTCGATTTCCAAATTCCCTATGTTATCCCTGCAGTGTTTGCAAAGAATAATGCTCTATTAAAATGCATCCATTGCAGACATGTAAAATATATGTTACATTGATGTTCAAATAATAGTTTCTTACCTGTCGTGTTCTTTTTCCACTAAGTGATAACGGGCTCGGAATGCAACAAGATGGGCATAGTAGGCTGGAGCAGGAATAGAAACAGATCTGGTACATCTAACATACGTGTGACATAATTGATAAGTTAGACATTGAAGTTCATCGGAGTCAAAATGGTTGTCATCCCACAGTACATGATAGTGACTTGGCCTGCTGGTACCCTAAAATGAGAAAGTAAACATACGTGAAAGAGGCAAAATTTACACATGTTTGCACGGTAGAACTTCGTATGCAGTGCGAGGATTTTCTTATTAATTTCAGTATTAAGAATTTCTATAAGCAGATGACTTGTTTTAAATATTTAAATGATGAGATCAAAAGAAAATGAAGGTCCAATTGCCATGTCGTAATTATGGAACGGTTATGGCAAGTTTTCACAGTGCTAGTAAATACACTGGCAAAAAGCACCCAATGACAGCAGTGCTTAACCTTAGGGTGGGCAATATTAACCTTAGATCCGTAAAATATTTATGAAATAACAAAAATTATTTCATCTTACCTGGATTCCTGCATGACTGCAAAGATAGAAGTCAAACTCAGTTGGGTGTGTGATTCCAACATCTACTGTTGTTCCGGCGGGAATATTTCCAGATTTGCCAGATTGTTCTTTCTTGTCAGCACAGAATAGTCTGAAATGGAAAAGTTTCAGTGAAGGTTGGAGTAAAGGAGATATGTAGTGCATTGGTTTATGAAAAGAGAGAAGGTTGGCTTTAAACATTACTAGGGAATAGCAAAGACTGGTTCAACGAAGCCACAGCAACTAGCAAAGAAAGCGGAAAGTTGATACAAGCAGAAAACTGCTGAGAAATGTAGAAATCACAATGGAACGATAGAGGAACAGTCTTAAAGAAACTGCGATGAAATTTAGCTGAACGCCCAGCCAATAGATACGGCTAGTAATGCTCAGGTAGCTATCAGCGTTGTCAATCGACAAATTACAGAACACATTAGAGATACGAACGAAAGTGCATTTCATGCTGACCTGAATTTGTGTTTCTGCTAAGTTCATTGCTTTTTCTGCTAAAATTCAAGAAAACCTTAAGTACAAGCAGACGCCAATGAACAAATCTTTCAAATCTTCAGGATCATTTTGGCGCACGGTGGGTGCCATAACTGACTCTATCTGCATCTGCATCTCTTCTCATTTTCAAGTTTCCAAAATGGTATTAGGTGAACAGTTATAGATATTTGTCCTTCTTTGTATAAAATTAATAAAATTTTGGTTCTAAACTTTAAAATGGAAATCTGACGCTTTGCATCCTGATCATTATCATTCTGTTTGGTAGAGGTATGACTTTAATGTAGCAACGAGCATGGAGGAAATATACCTTGTGTGATGTCTCTTCTGTACCACGATGAATGTAATTCCAGGTTTGTAGTCACCTTCAAGTTTTATACAAGCTTCTCGAATGGCTGTGAGTTCATGCTGCAAAAGCTGCAATGGAAAAAGATACACGGTAAAAAACGGACGAAGTTTTGATGTTTTCTTTTGAAATCAACTAAATTAGGCTTTCTTGAAATTAGACGCACAGATTTGAGCCAAAAGCTCTTAACCTCATGTTTCACACGTTACAGGATACAGAGTTATTTTAACCGCAGAATCATTTTCACGATGGTGACCCAAGCATCAAATATATTTTTAAAGACGTTTCATCTTCAGTTACTAGACAGAATGCTTTTTTTTGTTTTTTTTTGTTGAGAGTTAAAATTGTTTCTCACATCATCAGCCAAATTTTTTAATACTTGTTACAATATGACATGACAAACGAGAAAGGACTCGCCTTCAAAAGAATTTTCTTTGTAAATTACAAGACAAATCTGAAAAAAAAAAAAAAAAAAAAAAAAAAAAAAAAAAAAAAACCAGCAAAGCATACTCACATGGATGAATTGACCTTCAGACACTCCGTCTCTGTAGAGAATGATACGATGTGGTTTATAACCTCCAGTGCTCTTATAGAACATTAACAGTAGTTCTCTCACCATTGAGCAGAGTTCTTGAATGATCTCTTGCCTGTGCTGCTGAACGCGTACTGTTGCTGCATATCGACTTGGATGGGCATCCATCGAGCCGACACAAGCTGCAATTGACGGCTTCTTGTTATCACCTGCTGGGGGATGAGTGACATCAGCACCCAAGAAAATGACAGGCTCATTGAATACTTTAGGTCTGATACTTGGAACAAGAATACTGTTGATTCCACCTAATTTCACATTGATCTTCAAGCAGAGATTCGACAAAGTTTGTGGTGAGGTTTTATTGACATTTTTAGCTTGAACACATTGAGTGGCCATTCCAAGAACTGTATCACCTACTCGTTTCACTTCAGCGTAGACAGGAGTTTTGCCTGGAAGCACGACGACGACCAACTGGAGCGCAACGAAAGTTGTTTTGAGATAACGGAACATTGGCTCCACTTGATCCGGCCCAGTCGCATATTTACAAAAGCAGGGTTGACCTACGATCGGCATTCCTGCATCGCTACTTATTTTTTGTAGATTAATAATGAAGTTCCTCAAGGCATCTTCTCTGACCGTTCGTTGCGGAGCGAAACACGCTATCGCCCACACTCGAATTTCAACGCCTGTGAAAAACTGCTTCCCTCGCATATCCCAGACACCAGCGTTGGGCATGGCTTGGGTTTTGGCATGGAGGGGATTGAACCCAACAACCTGCACTGAGGAACGTCCGCCGTACTGCAACTTCGGGGGAGGGAGGACACGGCCTCTTACTTCCATCATGTTGTTTGAAATTGTCAAGCCGAACTCTTGAACATACGAGTCATTGTTGAAGTCGGCACGTCTGACAAGGTTGTTGATTTCACGTTCTCTGTCGGGAGCTGAACGGGCAGTTGCTTTAATCATAGTGGACGTCTGCATATCTGTCAATTTCTTAATACATCTTTGACCAGCAACAATGTTACACACCTAGAGAAGATAAAATAACCACAATTAGAAAAATAGAAGAAATATGGAGTAACAAGATATAGAAACTGATAGAGTTAAGATATAGAATGCAGAGGTGACATTGAAAGTTCATTCAAATGATAACTTGTTCTCCAAAATGCAGGGGAATAAAGTTTTGATAAGAATCACGAGCGTAGAAACTTCTGCGAAATAAAAATTTTATTTTGACGAGGAGTGCAAAAACGAGGTTTAGAAGATTGGAGAATGAACTGTTAAAAGGAGGCTAACACCAGACTTTATTTGTGGCAGGAACACTGCACTGCAAGAAACAATTTGCAGTTCGAAACATTTTGCATCCATGATTTTGACCTCTGCAACATGCTCTCACCATCAAGGGATTTTATTGCGGGGTTCGCGATATCCAGGATAGTACAGCAACATTTAAATTTAGAATTTCAAAAGAAGGCCTTCTTTATGGACTGATTCCTGAAATCCTAATCCTGATCACACCAACATGTTAAAAACATGTTCAAGCACAAATACTCACTTCCAGAGGTAGGTAAGTATGCTTGTGTTCCTGTCCAACTTGCAAACATGGAAGATGAGGATACCGAAGTTTCATCTTGTACTTGTCTAAGAAGTATTTTGCAACGGTGCATTCAACAGTCTGACCATTTTCAAGTTGCAACGGAAATCTGAAAAAACAGAGGAGATGACAGTCAAAGAAAGTGAAAAGTGTGTATCTGCAAGATTTTAAGAAAAATTTGAAAATTTTAATTATGTTACATCTTAATTTTTATTTTTCTTTAAAAGGCAGCTAGGCTAGGGCCTTTGCTATGACTTTAAAATTCAGGGGATACACAAGTGTGGTAAGTAAAATATAAGAAAATAATCACAAGAAAAGCAAAAAAGTGTCAAGATCAAATTATTGGACAAATCAGGTTTAAGAAATTTAGTGGGTCTATATACTGCCAGTCGTGAGGCATTGATTTCTAAAAACTGCTCTTTACATGGAGGGAATGAGGAAAAAGCACTGTTTTTCCTTAATATCTCAAAAAGGCTGAAATGGAGTTAATTAAATTTTTATTACAGGTCCTGCTCAATGTTTCTAATTTTAGAACATGACTCCAATTATAATGTACCTAGTTTTTAGAATTTTGGGCAAAACTGAGGAGTCCTTTCAGCTAGCATAGATAAGGTAGATTTTTGGAGATACATCAAACATAAATGAATGCTGAAAATTGGAATTGCACTTACGATTGCATCTGCGCTGGTCGTCGGGTGACATTGCACACTCTATATTTTCGACGCATCGTTCCACAATGAGTTATTTCTATTTTGAGACCTTTGATTTCTTTAGTAAACTTGACCCGTTGGGAATCAGTTAATGGTTTGCGTTGCTGCTCATTGACATCTCGAATATCCAAAACCTCGCACATGAATTCAATGGCAGGCTGTGCTTTGTAAAATGCTGTGGCAGATACTGCAAGAGAAATAAAATCAGCATGTTAAAAAATTGATTGGGTAAAATTCATCATCGTCAAGTTAATAATTTGTTTAAATTCTACAATATGCCCCACGATTTCAATTCGATTCTCAAGACAAAATTTTGAGAGGACTTAACTATCGCTTCAAAATCGAAGAGAAACTTAATAGTTTCCACTTGGTGCGTTAAATGACCATCCAATCTCATGAAGGGTAGACCATGGACAAAGAAATCCCTCATCTAAAAGGCAGTTGCTACAAATGGACTGAGCTGAGATTGCAGTTTGAAAAAAGCCCAAATCTATGACCGTTTCTGAGCAAGAAAGAGTACAAAATAATTTTTATAGAAAAAAGAATAAAGTGACAGTTCAGCAAATAATTTAGAAGCTTGAAACCAAACAAGCGTTTTTCCATTTCACACATCGAAAAAGGCTGGTTTTAGGCAAGGCAGTCACACATTTATCTGAAGAAGAAGAAAGTTCTAATGACACTGCGCTGATCTGGTGTAAAAGAGAGCAAGCTAATTGAGATGTTACTAAATTTCAAAAGGCAACAGAGAATGCTGAGAAAAAAAAAATAAGAAACTGGAGAATTACCATCAATATTGAGCATCATTTTCCATTGAGAAGGCCTGACAGACTGATGGAATCCAAACCAAACTTCACGACCTCCACCCAATGGATGATAATAGCCATCAGGTGATGAGAAAAACGATCGGCCTACTGGCGTGTAGGTCATTGAAGGTAAGTGTCTCATGACTACATCTAAAGCCTGGAAACAAAGAAATTAGACATGCCAAAAAGCTTGTATTGAGGCAAAAATTTGAGAACCGGTTTCTTTAGAGTGATAAGTTCTCCATGTCTGTGCTGAAAGATTTAGATAAGATGCATTTACAATACCCGAAGATCTTTTGCTTCTTAACTTGTGACAGGCTTCGTAAACATACTGTTTAAAACTGGTTGACTAAATTGAAAATACAACGTCAACATCTAAAAATCTATCAGGGATGCAGATTTCTAAACTTTTCTATTTTTCCAACTGGCCTTTGCATTTTAGAAACCTCTTTCTTCGAACTTATGAAAGTTATTACTTTTCTTTGATCCAGTATTCATAGATTGCTAATATAATGTGAAACATATGCAAATTGCAACGCGTTCTAGGAAAAAATTCCGAATTTTGCTACTATTTTTCGGCTACAATACGCCAACTTTAGAATTTTTAGTCTTCCTATTTTTTCACATGAGCAGCAACAGAGTCATGATCATAGGAGGAGTGAGTTTCTGCAAGTTCATTTTTCGACCAGCTCATGGATTTTTTCAAGATGTCAAACGAGTTGGATTGAACCAACTCCAGGAACTTCGGGGGTAAATTTTTAAAGGACCTGTAATCTTTCTTGATATGATAGTAACGGATGATAGGCAAGCAGAGATCTGTTAGAGTATGATCAATTTGATTTCTTGGTCATATAATATACTTTACATGTACATGATGACAACTTATTAAATAAGTAACAAGGTGGAGAAATGGTACTGGGTCCACACCATTTCGCGGGGAAATCAAAGGCCAAGAAGTTCCAAAAATTATAATTAGTCAAAAATAAATCTCTTTGACTCTTATTGCATAAGCTAAAGGATAATCACACAGATTCTTGAATATTATGCTTAAATACTTACCGAAATTGCGTCGAAAGGAATCTGTCTAGTTCTGCCTTCTAGAGCTTCTTCTAGGGCGAATAATGAAACCTGGGCAACCCACTTCAAGGCTACTCTAAAGACTCTATCTTTACCTTCACCAGGTAGAGTGACCTGGGGGAAAAAGAGAACAGATAATCTCATTGATAAAATGGGATCTTAAGTTTGGTACCTTCAAATAATCAATGCACATGTTTCGTGATTGCACTACATGTTAAAAATGGAAACTGAGTACAAAATAGCACAAACTGACTTCTCAGAGGAGTGAGACAACTTTTCCCTAGCTGCAAAAAGTTTAACTTATGCATTCAAAGACTGAACAAACATAATGCCTGATCTTCTTTCGACTTCTAACGCAGACGGCTCTGAGAGAAAGAATAACCTCTTTCTCCTGTTTAACTCAGTTTTTTTCTGAGGGGCAGTTACAACTGTTTTGAATGTAGATGAATAATCTGCTCTTGCATTAATTAAGCACCTTTGCGGCACTTTGAATGAACAGGTGTTAATTGCATATCCAACCTGGACAGTGTCTACTTAACTCAATGCAACGCTCCATTTGTCTTGTTATTAGTGCAGCTCTTTGGTCATGAAAATTGAAAGCAGTATTATAAATATTATTCATGCATTATTGATAAATACAAAATTGTACTTAGTATGATTCAATTGTCATTGGAAAGCTTAGTAAGTATGTAACTCAACTGTGAATATTTGGGGATTCTGAAGGAACTTAACCATGGTAATTAAAAAGCAGAGACAATGACTCACCTCTAGCTCCATTCTGTCATTTCCAATGGGCAAAGGATCTCTGGTGTAAAGGTTACTCCTTCCATCAAAGACAGGCTTTAAATTACTGAATAATTTACTGTAAGCATGGACCATGGTCTCGATGATTTCACGATTGACCTTACGGGGGCATTTGTCTGGCTGGATGTTGATATCATAATGATGGATGAATCCTCTGGGCATAGTGATTTGGAAGTGGTTGGCTCTGAGTACGATGGGACGACCTTCTCTTCCAAGATTTGGCCGTCGTGGGCAGTTGAAAACTGAAGAAAAATTAACACAGAAACATTTTAGTGAGGATATAATGATCAAGACAGGCTCACTTTGAAATGTTCCGTCCGGAATGCAAACAGTTTTCATCTTTCTGTTTGTCAATTAGACCCTATCCGTATTCGATAGTGATTCCATGTATCGTTTGGTTCAAAACAGTAGAGCATAACCTCAAACTGATCTGTTAGGATTTAAGTTGGAAAATCTGATAATGAGAAAATTCTTAACAAAATCACTTTGCATTGGCATTTGGTACTGAAAAGAATAAAATATCTATTACAAAAGACCCGTTCCCTCCGATTTCTAAATTGACTTTTGAGGCTATGTTTATGTTTTGAACCAATCAATATCGATACAATCTCACCTGTTTGATGTACCATCTAAAAAACCAAATCAATCCTAGTGTAAACTCAAGTGTAGTAAATGATAAATTGTATTTTCAAGGAAAATTGGATTGCACTTGGCAGGGAGGAGGCGAGAGCGTTCCAGTGTAGCTAGATTTTTGCAAATTGATTCTGGCCAAGATTCAAGTTGCACAAACATGGCAACGCTGGAATTCTCTTGGTTCCTTTTTGCAAAGTGCAATCCAATTGTACCGAACTCATTTCTGTTACAAAAATTTTTGTATTGGTATGTGAAAGCAGTTGAAAATGGAACGAAGGCCTAGCCAACCTTTGAATCTATCCTAGATAATTAAATAATCTTTTTATAATTAAAATTGATACAAACTTCTTTATTGTATTTAACATTGTTATTGTTTTAAAAATTTAAATTTAAATTAAATATGTAGGTATAACTGACTCATCCACACGAGTGAACTCATGGATGAGGGAAGTTGATTTTTACTACTGTTGTATATTGTAAATTGAAGAATTGGAATAAATTGAATTGAATTGTATCGAATACGATCTATTAGCATCCTCATGAAAAACTACTCTTTCCTCGGACTGTTCTGAGTGATAAGACTTTTCATATGCCCCCCCACCCCCCTTTATCAAGACTCTACACTGACAAACAGCCAAGATTTTGTGTATTGCAGACTTATTTCACATTGACATAAACCAACTCGCTCAGACCCTTTGCAGAAGTTTAGTTGCAAAACTTTACTAGAGAAAATATTTTCCAATCTTTATTTTCTACTAAGATTGCTTCATAAATCAAATTACGCTTAAAATGGTATGTACGCATGAAAAAATCAAAGTTAGAAACTTACTTGGCAAATCTGGAGGTTGTGGTGGTTGATGAGGTGGTTGCTGTGGTGGAATGAGGCCCATAGCGCCAGGAGGGACTGCCACTGCGCCTGGAGGGGCCACGGCCCCGGCAGGTCCGGCTGCTGGAGGTGCTGTAATTACAAGGAGAGTGAGTAAAAATGAATGATATCCGATGGCATGAAATTGATTTTCATACTAGGGATTTGATCGTCTTCATTACACATGTGAAGGGATGCATGTGTCTGAAGAAACATCCTAACTACTGAGTTTGCGCTGGACAAGCTGAAAAGCTGCAATGGCGCATCAGTAAGCAGTGTTCCTCCCCCACTTGAAACCAACCAGTGCGACCAAATCAAATCTTCCTTCAATGACTTCTTTTTAATAATTCTCTTCACTGATTTGTCTTCCGACAAGCTTGTGTTGTTTTTTCACATTGATGTGTTTAGGCCCAATTTACTTATTGAGCCCTGCAAGATAAGAACAGTAATTGGGGAAGAGCTGAGTATCCAGCAATGAAATTCAGACACAGCAAAAAATATTCTTGTATGCATTTGTATTTAAGTTATATTAATCATATCATTATATTTTAGGCAACTAAAAGTTTCCCGATCCATAATATTCACATCTCAATAAATTTGTGATAGCAGCCTTTTCCTTAAATAGTTAAAGGACAAAAAGAGAGATTGGTCCAACAACAGTGAACAGTAAAGCCCAAGTCACTTTCCTATCAAAATTTTCATTGTTAGCCTCCTGTGGTGTAGTGGTTGTAGCACTTGCTCTATGATAGGGAGGTCCTGGGCTCGATTCCCAGCCAAATGACCCAAGTTTGATGGTCTCAAACAACGGTTTTCTGGGGCTGGCTTGATCAAGGACAGAGGGGGGATGGGACTTAGGGGATGGTAAAACGAAGATTATCCCTTGTGGGATATTTGAAACGTAAAAAAAAAAAAAAAAAAAAAAAAAAAAAAAAAGTAACTCTTGAATGCAACTTGTTGTGATGCAAAGTTGGATAGTGCGATACTGATGCCAGAAAACGACAATTTGATGAAAAATTGAATGGAAACTTAAGTATGACGTCACATACAACTTTCGGTTTCGAAAATCGAGCGGAGAGTGAGTTAATCAAATTTTTTTGCGTTCAACTCGCCATCCAACTTTTCAATCAATATTGTCGGCTTAAAAATTTCATAGTGTAAATTGGGCTCAGTGTATAACTGGGGAAGGAAAAGACGAGACAAATGTCTCATCCAACAGATATTTACATGCAAACCAATGGGCTAACTGATGATTGATGCATCCAGACTGATGTGACTTCTGTCTCTTCTTTTCTTTCCCCAGTTCTACCTGACTTCAGACAGTTGCTGCATCATTATAAATGCAGGACACGAGCAATATACCAATGGAGACAAAGTTCTCGACACAAAACGCATTGTAGTCTTGCAATTAAGGAGCCTTCCATATGATTTTTCAATAACACTTGTTGGTAATAATAGAGACAAGCCCAGCATCTCAATCTATTTTCTCTCTACCTCATTAACTCCAAGAAGATCCAACAGACCAAGAAACTAACTCGCTCAGAGCTCACGCATTGTATATTGAGACTGACGTCAAAGTATTGTTTACATCACCACTCATCAGGGGTACCATCTAACTGCATGTATGGACCTCTTATGTAGTGCTAATTCAGAGCAAATCAGAGATTGACTATTGTCCCTGCATACAATGCGCAAGCTCTAGAGGGTTGGATCATGATTGGATTCCTGACGCATATCACAATATGATGGTAAATAATAACTATTCACTATTTCGTTTTTAAATGAAAAGTATAAAAAAGTGCAAATTAATGAAGACCGGACACAACTAGGTAGTTCCAATACATCTTAAATGAATTTCCATACTAGGTCTAATCAGCTCATAGGGGCCAATTGTTGAAGCTATTTTCTGCTGTGTCTGCAAGATAAGACGTAGCCCCGTCAACACCATGAAACACATAGTTTGCCAAGTCTCATCTTTCTGACAAAATTTGCAAAAATCAGTCCATAAGTCTCCACAAACAAAAATAAAGTAGCACTGCATATTCTCAAAGAATACATAAATTGAGTGGTCGAAGTAACCAAACAGAATGACAGTGTTGGAATAGTTGATAATGGCTGGTGGTAGTCTTGCGAATAGAGGCCAGGGCTGGGTGTTGTAGATTTGAACACAAAAGAGAATCTGATAACCTCAGAACAAATCAAGATAGGACCATGCCAACAACCTCTAATGAAATGCAAATGTCAGTATGAAAAGAAAGATAATAGTGAGACATTCGTATGAAATGTCTGAGACAAATGACAGGAAATGTGGAGCACAGCAAATCAGTTAGTTAACCTAACTGACAACTATGAGGTCATTCAACTTTATACTGAAGTGGTTCACATAAAGAAATTTGGGAATACTTGGGTGTAAGTAAGGTCAAAATGGGGTGGTGTTGGTCCTGAAGCATGATGAAACAATAACCCACCCAGAAGAAACCTCGAGGTGCAGGAAAATAAGGATTTCAAATGCAATGAAGGTCAGACTTGTGACAGGGGAGTGAAGATAGGCTTATCCAGCTACATCTGCCATTCAGTTCGACAAAAATTCGGTATGTATTGGAAAGGTACCGAACCGTTTGAAGTAGAAATTAATTTAGAATTACTTACGTTGTCCTACTGGATGCATATTACACTTTTAGAGGAAAAAGACCACACCAAACATAGGGGGCTCGTAGGAAATTACACGAGCTACCCCTTCAATACACGTTCAAGAGCCAATACAAACACTAAACAATTTACAACATTGCAATCGCCAAAATGGCGGAATCTCTTTATGACGTCACCAAAAGTCCAAACGGCAAGATTGATGGCAAAGTGATCTCAAAAGTGTTAGAATCAATGCTCGCCTGACTAGTTACAAAAAGTGACTAGGGTTTTAAAAAAATAATTGAGAAAAGCGGAGAACTACAAACTAAACTATTAATTGATGCGATGCGATGTAGAGTAATGCGATGATGAAATAGCTGAGCTTTGAACTTCAATTGTTTGTAGCGCACTCTGGAGGTTTACGGGGAAGACACGGCAAGCATGAGGTGACGTCATGAGCAGCAAACTCTTTTAGGATTGGCATCATTGACTTATAATACAATCTAGACCGCGCATTGGGCCCGACTTTAGGCGGGGAAGGTAAGACAGCTAGGGGGGTAAAGACGCGCCTTCAGCCTAGTTGATACCGCCGGATATACGAGCTAAGTGTACCCGTATCAGGCAACGGCACTGGCAAGACTAGCATTTCCACGAATTCCACCGTTGTCTCGCCGGTACACTTGCTGGGTGTTGCTAGGTTGCCTATCGTCTCGCTTGAAGGGAGCCTAGTCTCGCCGAAATTTCCTAATGCGCGGTCTAGATTGTATTATACGTCAATGATTGGCATTGGCTGAGTTCATAAATGTAAATGGCCGACCGTCGACCACAACCATCCGAAGTCCTCCATATCAAGTTCTAAAGTGAATTGTAATCGTGAATTGATAAAAAATCCGGTTAGGTCGAGACCGGTGCATATTGTCTTGTTGTAAAAACCGAAGGCTCGTTCATAAAATATTTGAGGCGTATTCGAGGTGTTCGACCCTACATTAGAAAAAGTGTGGAAGATAGGAACTGCGAACGGTGATAAGATCGTGGCTTGCAAGATTCTTGGGTTATGAATGGCTCACAATGGCTTTACCACCAACAGGCGTATTGCATAGAAGATCAGGAGGAATAGTTTCAGCTATCAAAAAGCAAGTTAAAATCCTCAATCTGAAACCTGTGAAAAAGATTCAATTCTCATTCGATCCATTCGGTGCATCCGAGAGTTTGAGGTTAGTCTGAATTTCAGTGCTCCACGGACATGATCAATTTTTCTTGCAGCAATGACTACTCTCATAACATAAGAGATTGAGACGCTTCATATGAGTAAACGTTAGGAAAATGTTACACGAGTTGAGCTTTTAGTGGGAGTGGACATGGGTTAGGAGAATTGAGTGGGAAATTTGGGAACTTCTTACTTTATGTTCTTACTTGAGGAAAGGTAAATTGGGGAGGAACGAAAAAGTATTACAAAGCTATCGAGACATAAAAATACTAGGGGTAAGCCAGGAAGGTCGAACAAATGGGAGCAATGTCTAGAGGTATCATGGCAATCAATGCATCGGGTATCATTGGGTTCCACGACAGTTTTCTAGCTAAATCGCTAAAAATTTCAATTATTATGAAAAAAGTATTGAGTGCCTGATGAAGAGATGAGGGAATTTCAGCTATTTTAATAAAATCAAGAGTACCTACGAGGTTAAGATAACTGGAATTCAAAGGTGATGACGATATTAACACTGAATACTTACCCCCAGACTGCATGCATGCACCAAATGACTTCTGCCTCTCAGGGTGATAATCGGGCGAAGGCGAAAGAGGAGAAGCATCGATTTGCGGTAGTAGAGCATTCATGTTGATCTATAAAAGAACACATTCAGACTCGTGAGAGAAACTAAAATAATTAGAATTATACACTGAGAGACAATCAAAACATACGTGCGACCTAACAGAGGGCTTTACATTATCTCGTCACCTTCTGGCCAAAGTATCACAAACGCCATGCGACTGTTCAAAATTTTTGCCGCCATTTTATTTTTGTACAGAAAAATTGTTGGATGAATCTGTTTGAAAATTTCACAGAATCTTATCAGCAGCACAAAGAAAATTCAGTGAAATTTTTGGACAGCTTTGTTGAACAATTTCTCTTAAAAGAAATAAAATGATGACAGGAATTTGTAAGTGTTGCATGGCGCTTGCGATACTTTGACCGGAAGGTGACGCTCTGTTGCCATCCTTTTCCAGCATGATAATTTTTTTTTATGGCATTATTCTTAAAATAACTGATGCAATTTGAAACACCATGAAAGGAAAAATACACTGTAATTTTCATTGCTCTCTCCTCAATTAATGATGGTACTTCAGTTCAAAATGCTAGGGAACAAAATCCTAATGTCCAATTCAGTCTTTGACTAAAATTCATTTGATCTTTTCAGGCATTTCATGCACGGTGTCTCCATCCCAGCGGTCAGAGCAACAAATCTCAACGCTGTTTTCCGAAATGAAATACTCAGCGACAGACAAGAACCCACAATAAATATATCCTTAGGTAAGTACTCTGCCATCTCACAATTCGGGGACTGAGGATGTAGAAAGAGTATGTACTTGAAAACAATTTAGGCAATAAAAATTTTAGAAGGATTTCGCTTTGGAAATCCTATAACAATACCTCTGAATCTATGCCTTTAAATTAGGTGCAATTAAGTACTATTTTGTAACTTACCGATGTATTCTCAATCGAAAATATCTTTGAAGAATTGTTCACCAAAGTAGAGATGTTGTAACTCAACTTTAATAATTTTTGGCAGAAACTACCATTACTGAATGTAATTTCAACTTCACCAGACTTCGTTCATTTCATACAAAAGTGTCCATTTAAAAAATAATAATAATAATAATAAAAAAATTAAATCTTTAAAGTCTTGCAAGTTAAATAATGATTCAATGCTTGATCACTAAATTACTTTGCATGTACATAAGTTTTAAATAGAAGTAGCTGTGATATTCCAGCAGGATGAGATGTGTTGCTAATTTCATTTTTTCATCCAGAATTCTGACCAGCGTACCGGCACTTAGACATCGAATTAATTGAAAGCTAGGTATTCTTAGTTCATAAAATGTATTTGTTCTATCTCCATACTAGCACCATATATAGTTTCACGGAGTCAAAATCTGAAACAAACAAGAAAAAAATCTGTAGTTATTACATTGAACAGTTCTACCCATCAAAACACATTTATGTGCTTGGTGCAGGTGAATAACTTTTGTCCAAACCTAGTCAATGTTTTGTTTCTTTCAATTACAGTGAACGGTGAATCAGTCATTTTTAAGTGCAGCAATTTGACATTCGTGGAATTACTAACACTCTACAACAGACATATTTCCCGACTCGCACCGAAGGAGGTAGATGAAGATGATGAATTGACCGCCAAGTACACCAAAAAACTAGCGAAGAAAATAAAAAAGTAGGCAAATATTTAACTTGTATAAGATTTAGAAAAGAACACTTCAATTATGCCCAAAGACAAAAAGGAACCTTACAACATCAAGTTAATTAACAATTTTTACAACCAAATGCCTGCTTTTACGGAGGTCTTCGATGAAGAGACATGGTACGCATTTGTCATTTGTTTTGTGGTAGGAACGATAGCAGTTGTATTCCTCTTATCTAGATTTATAACAATAAGACCAGTTGACTTTTGATAAGATTTTTATTTCTTTAATCCTCCCTCCTCCTTTTATTTGGCATTTTTTATGCGACCTGTTACCTTCTTAATTAAGTCTCTAAGATCCTATTATGAAGCATCAACAACTTGTGTTTCTACTGCTGTGTTAGAGCTATTACTACAATGAACTAAATAATTTAAAACAAGTAAAGGAAAGTTTATTTCTTTTGAGTCCCTCTTAATCTCTCTTCTCATTTACCATGTTCTTCCTACAGTTACCTTACTCCTACAAATGAAGTTTAATAGCTGCTAAGATATAAACTTAAGGGTGAAGTAACTCACTTTAAACTTAGTCTTATAATTTTGCATCAATGTCAAACTTTTAAAGGGCCCTCTGCTTCAAAATAATGACCAAATTGAGTTGTTCGCTTAGCACACCATACTTTCCTCATGAATCCTGAAAATATGAGGCTACCATAAGTTGGCTGCAAGATGTAACATTATTCTAGTGTGAAAATCTCATCTTTGAATGAAGGCCAGATGTGTCCCTACCTTACCAAATATCAAGCGTCATTATTTCAGATAAAATACATTGCAATTCAAAAATCAACCAATGAGGTAAGCAAGAGAGATTTTCAACAATGTGAACCTGCTTCTATGACAAAAAAAGTTAAGATCTTTGGGGAAATTTTCACATAAGTATTAAAGCATCAATTGACGTCTTGGTTAATTTTCTTTGTTGAACCTGAAGTTTTAAATGTAAAGATAGCTTGCAAGAGTTTTTTTTCTCCGAATGACTTGCATGCCAACAGAATATTTTATCATAGTCATGAAAATAGTTCTGGATGAGACACCAAACCTTAAAAATTGTACTTCGAGCTCATGGAAGAAAAGAGGGCTAAACTTTATGGATATTGCCTATTTCATATGATGATGTCAATAATACTTATTCAAAACAATTAACTTTTACTTAATTTCAGAATATGATCTTAGAGACAGCGTTTGTTGAAGAAATCATTTCTATGTGTAATAGCAAACTTTGGATTATTGTTCTATAAAAGTCTAGTTCATTGAACTTACATGTAACCTTTGATCTTGATTTAGTCTCATAGCTTTAATTAAGGATTGTTTTTGAAATATTTCTTGAAGTTAACTTTTCATCATCTATCATTTAAAATAATTGCCAAATGGAAGAGATGAATTTTGTCTCCTATTACCTCTCATTATTCAGTTTTAAAATTAAGAGAATTGAGTAACTTTTGTACACAGAGCTTGCTGACTTCTTTTTTCTTTTAAAAGTTTTTTGCTCATATGGATGCATTCAGGTTTTCCTTTTGCCATTTTCCCTTTGTGTGTGATCTAAGTCCCTCAGTTTTGTTTCTTTGTTTCAATAAAACTTTTTTGCAGTCAAGAAAAGGAATTGTGTGGCTTGATTTTTAAATTCTGCCTTTCATACATTACACATGTGCTGATCTTTAAATATCCAATTTAGTGAACCTGTGTTTCAAACAGGGTGCTCACAGAGGGAAGGGCTGCACCAAAGGAGCGAAATCAGCCCCAACCTGACTTTCAGTGACTCTATTGTTCTGTGACATAGAAGGTTTATTTTTGACTTTTCATTTAGTTCCATCGGTGAGGTTGATTGCTAAGATCATGGTTCCGAAAGCTGAAAAAGGCTCACACTCAGATTTGGATTTTATTATATACAAATATTTATAAGTAAAAATGGTAAATTCGTGCAAAAATCACACTGGTTCTCCTCGGTTCTCTATTCAAAAAGCACAGATCTTAAAAACTCTGAAAGAGGGGCATTTATAGATTTTCGAATCATGTAAGCAGCAATGCATTTCACAAGAGATTCGATGGCCAGTTGAAATAATTAGGTAATTTTTTTCAAACATAGACCTTCTGCTGTCAAGAAATAGCAAGGTTAGAGAAATCCAAGGTGGGGCCGATTCTAGCCCCTAGCAGCAGCCTTCTTTTGAAAATGAGATGCCCTGACTATTCCAGATGTTCCTGACAAATTTTGGTAAAATTCTCTGGAATGTAAAGGAATTATTTCAAGATTTTTAGTTCTGGCTAAAATACAGGAGAAAGCTCAACATATAAGTTTAAAAGGGTCGCATGTTGCTTTTAATAATTATAATGTGGATTCATGATTAGACCAAGTAGATGACGGTATACTACTATTCATTCTATCTCAATTGGCCCTAGGGCCATCCAGATGCATATTGAAAAATAATAAACCTCTTATACCTGCATCTACTTGGTCTCATCACTAATCCTAAATTTTAAAGCTATGTGATCCACCATGTAGAAATTTTCTTCCCTGCAAATGCAATTTGTCAGTGAATTGGGTGTTCTTTTCCTATCCCTGCCATTCTTTTTGGTTTTATCTTCTTCTATTCAAAAAATTTGAACACACTTCAATTTTCCAAAAGAAAACATTGTGATTGATTATCAGGAAATTTTTAGAGAATCTTTTGGACTCGAACAGAGAACTTTTCAATGAGAGGTACTACAATAATCTTAAATTAAAATTACATTGTAACCTGGTCTTAAGAATCTACTCATAGCGACAAACCGTGCTTAATAGAAATTATGCCCTATTGTTTTGAAAAGGAAAATTTATGTACTTAAGTAGAAAGCTATTTCAAAACCTGTGATGGACGCAAAGATGAAAACTTTTTTTTGACTATTGATGAAAAATTAACACACAACTGAAAGAAGGAATGTGTTAAACTGATTTTAACTTGTCCCAATTGGCAGTGATTCTATTCATTTTCCAAGGCTATCAATTACCTACTGAGAGCTATGGTTTTCTGTCTCAACCAATTCAGCTTCATTATTAACCTAAAATATTTTAAAATTTTTGAAATAATAATCTTGACTTTTCCCAACGCAGATGAGCGTCTTACAGCATGAGTAAGCACCTCACAGAGCATCAGAGTGCTAGGAGTCCTCAGGCACTATTGAAAGTTATTATTTCTAATAGCCCAACTGAGCTAATCTCATTCAGCAGCCAAGCCTGCAATCTAGACTATGATTTCTACTATCCTCCACCTACTTTCTCCCTTTTATCAACCGTCAACTACAATCCAAACGTCTCCTATAGATAGCAAGTGGAGAGCAGTTCACCGTCTCTGGAGTTACGTTTCTAAGACTGCTGTTCCTTCCTAATTCTATTATTAGGTTGCCAATGAATGTAACTATAGTTGTTTTGCTCTGTAAATAGGTAGGTCCTTGCCAAGGTACTCTCTACTAAACATATGGACAAATGGAATATTAGAAAGTCGTCAAAATGCGTAGATTTGATAGCGTCCAATAGTATGACTGCGGCACCATTTTGAAAACTTATTTACTTTCTGTTCTGAGAGTGGGTCTCATCAATTTTGTGTTTTTTTTTGTGTTCTCAGTTAAGTCTTTTGATATTTTGAGTTTTATCAGTTTTTCAAATTCACCTGATGGCTTATTCAAGCTACCAGATCTGCCGGAACCTCATTTTCAACTGCGCGGCAAAGACGGTACAACTTGCGACGTCACCCAATGGCCCATATTCTCAGCGCTGCCACTTCGGCACCCTGTTTGTCCATACCTGTAATAGAGTGTACCTAGGGTCCTCGCACTATATTGGAAAATCTAAACCACACTCGCATAACAGGATAAAAACTGACATGGTTCATGATGATCCATCAAATTTTGAACAAGAAAACATCCCTGCTGAAAGAAATCTTGCTTAACATTCAACTTAACAAAAATAAAATGAGTTACCTATGTTTTAGTGACCTCAACATTCATCAGAGACACTGAATCTGGACAAATAGAACGTGACAAGGTGAACATTTGTTACTCGTTCCTAGACAGAGCATCCTATACATGCGGTATGACAGGACAAGTGGGTGATACTTCTTCGGGACGTAAACATTCTATGTGATTGCGCTCGTCATATTCCAAAACCAACATACAGCAAAACATCAGTTTACAATACACCAAGATTTGCACATGGTTGGATGGCAAGAGTGCCCAAAATCAGAGGGCCAAAAGTGAGGCCGTCCGGTAAAATGTTCTTCTATTTCAATGGATGAAATGAAAACGAAACCGAAATGACATTGAAAATCAACTGATGGACCTACGTCACGTAAATTTTCAAGGTCAGGGTTTGTTATTGTCTGGTTCCCAAGAGTGGCAGTGACTATCTCATGGAGTAAACGGAAATTAGAACCCTCACAGCGAGACATAGGCGTAGGAAAGCGTAGAAACTCACCTCCAATGACGGGATTTAATTCTACCCCGAAAGACAGTTGGAATTTCAGCTTCGGCCTTAGCTCATGCAGATCGATACACCACACACCACTTCACTTCACTCACGTCTATTTGTTTACAAACAACTCGTCGTAATCACACGAGATGGTAGAGATAAGAAATAGTGAGATAACGGCATAACTTCGGGTTGAGATAAGACCTTGACGATACGAGTACAGAAATTATCTTGTCGGTAACTCGGTGAGATTGCAACACAAAAGTAATCGGCAGACACTCGCGATCGAGGGTAGAGAGTGGTGGGTGAATCACTTTTCCAAAATGATGGCTGCGTTTCGTCACGTTCCAGACGAGCGGACAAAGCAGGGTTGCCTGGTTTGGGGTATGACGGTTTTTTTTCGTCCGAATTGGGTTGTCAAAATAGAAGAATTCCTCTTGAGGGATTCGGTTATTCCTCAGGCAAAAAAGAGAGTTTATTTCAACGTTACTTGGGCGGAAAGATGACTCCTCACTCGCCGGTTCTGCCGGTGGTAACAGAGGGGAGAAATTATTTTCGGGGCGGCGCCGCATCATGCGTTACTTTGTGCTGATAAACTGAAATAGCGCGATTTTTAAATTAGCGCTTCACAAAAAGGTACCTGCTGTCTCGACTCACTAGAATCAACTAATAACTTGGACTTGGCAATTTTTCGGCCGCTAGTGACTAAATTTGAATTGATCATCCTGGCAGGTACAATAGGCACAAAACAAGAAGTGATACCTAGGTAGTTTCTTTGTAATTACAAAAACGTTCACGTTTCAGAACGAACAATTAAGTCTCCAATGCTTTAAAACTACATGTTAGGTGATTCATAACTTCATAAGATAGAGAAAGCATCAATTCTGAGTTCTGAAAAGCCTCAACCCTCCTTCGGTAGGAAGCACAAGAGGAGAGTTAAAATACAGAAGATTTTCAATTTGATAAGCTTACTGGTTTGGGACTGGTTAGAGGGACGGAGGGGGGACTGGACTAAAAGCGCAAGGATTAGCCCCAGGCCCGCCACAAGGGGGGGGATACTGGGTCCTTGGTACCGGGGCCCGGGCCCTGGAGGGGCCTGTGACGCAGGTGACAAACCACTACGAATTCATGTGTAACCCTTGTCTTGTAGGGAAAAGTGAAAAAATTACCCTACAAATTCCGCAAAAGGTGAATAAAGTTTCAAAAACACGCTAGGGCACTATAAAATTTTTCTTACTTTTTTAGAGATTTTCAAGATTTTGAGTATACGTAGAATGATATTTTTAGTAACTGTGTTTCATTTTCTTCCGTTGTCGGATGCTAAGAGGCTCCTTTCTGGGCATCCTCGACTTCAATGACTTAACTCCCTTGCCATAGACGTACGAAAGGGGAGTCCAGGGGGGCCCGGCTCCCCATAGAATTGAAAATTATCATCTGCCCCCTCAAAAAAAAATGTATAGATGTTTTGAATGCAACAATTCGAAAATTTTTGGTGCTGAAAGTAAACAAAAAGGCGTAATTATTCTGCAGAAATTGATGGAAAATCTCCATCATAAGAGCTTCATAATGCGTCCAAATAGATTTAAAATTTCAAAAATTTCCCGGGACCCCCCCCCCCCCGCTAGGGGCCCGGGCCAGAAAATTGGTACCAGGGCCCGAGATGGGATGTGGCGGGCCTGATTAGCCCTAGTGGGCTATTTGAAGTAGTAAACAAAAAAAAAAAGGGTGAAACTGATGGGGAGACGGGTACGTCCGAGATGCTTGGCCCTATGTTAAAACTCTTAAGGAGTGTTTAAATTTTATCCCAAAACTTTAAGTTAGCCACTTGGCTGAAGCCTCTTCTTCAGACGTATTTCTACACTGTCTTCATGCAGAGTCATTAAGCTTTTTGTTGATGAAACAGGGCATTTGGTAGGGAATGCAGTTGGTGTGGCACCCCTTAATTTTTTATGCTGAAGTCTAAATTTTCAGGCAAAGGAATGTTGTCCCCGGTGAAATTAGATCACTGGCTCTAAATATGTCTGACAAGCTAGAATCAGATTACAAAGCTAATTTAAATCATCAGGAGTAAGAGTCTTATCAGATACTTAAGTCTGAGACACTCTACAAAGATTTTCAAAATTCATATCATTATCCCTCCAAGAATGTAAAGTAATTTCAACAGGGTTGGATTCAAGTTACTGCTCATTTGAAAATAAGTGAAATTCTGAAAATCTGGATTTTTCTAACTATTTCGATGTAATGAATACGCAGGGTATGGCTACTGTATGAAGACAGGGTAAAGAGCAACATCACATAACATCCTCAGATTTGCATACCTAATAGAATGACATCAATATGACTATTGAATCTCAGGGGACCTCTGAACCAGGGGTCGAGAGGGTTCTCAAGAGCGAACGCCGATTTCCAGGATTTCATATGCATCGCCTCCTCGCTCGCGAGTTGAGAGGCCTTTTGTTTCGAATGCCCTCTCCGTTCGCAAACCCAAACCTTTTTGTCCGGCGCCGGCTCTTAGTTCCCGATACCTGAGGCATATTGCGGCGAAAGCGATACCCATCCCGGAACGCGATCGATTAGCGGGCTAATTNCCTGCTCTGAACGTATCATGGACTGTTTATTCATTGGCTGCAGTTTGATTATCTATCTGTGCATATTAATTAGTCTCACTACATGTTAACTTTTCAAGGGACATCAGGGAGTCTACTAAAACAGGCTGGCCAAAAATCAGTACTTCTACAGTACTTTTTCAGTACATTCCCAAGAAATTCAGTACCTCAAATTGACAATAATCGAAAAATTTGAATTTCTTCCTCAAATTGCAACAAAAATGACAAAATATAGAAAACCTTTATGCGGAATTTACATACTTTTTCAGTCCTTCCCGACCGCCCTTCAACAATCAGTACTATTTCCGGACTTGTAGACACCCTGGGCATTTGCAAAACTAATATCTCTGTTTGCCAAGTTCTTGTCATACCTACTTCATTTTTTCTTTGGAAGACTAATCGACGTAATTTTTTGAACACGTCCATAATTTTTCTTCTCTGTTAGTAGAATGTTCTGTAAAATTTTCAAGCTACAAAGCCAACCTGATGTTTCTTTTCCAAAAAATGAAAATGGAAGCGGAAATTCTGCAGCACCACGATGTAGATAGGTGATTTTGCACTTTGGCCATTGATTTGCAGTTTATGGCTGCAGTCTAGTCTGTTAAATAGCCTGTCTCGGCATATTGATCATATGAATTCCAAAAATTGTGAGAAATTTTTCGACGCATTAAATTTTTCTTGTCTAAGGGTGCTTGATTTTCATTTACAAAAAAAAAAAAATGGATGAGACATAAACCTATCTTTGCTTTCCCAAGGTCATTATGTAAAAATGCTGAAGAGGTAGATCAACGAGGAAGGAGTACAGGATCTTGCATAAAAAGACTGAGGGCTTCAGGGATGCCTAAATTTTTTCTCAGTCTTCGGTCTTGGTAATTTCACTGTCAATCCACTAGATGGCCTTAGCCCTAGACCTATCAAATAAAGTAATGTCTGTGATTTGATATGCAGTGACCAGATGAAAGAGGAATTCTGGAAGTGTTGTGGATTCTGACTTACAAATTAACAAATATACTTTATTTAAGATTCAAGGAAAGAGCAATTAATAAAATTAATTTAAAAAAACCACTTTGTAAATTTTAATGAAATATAAAGTTAAAAGCTACCAAAAAAAAATTGGGATTATGAAAATAACAAGATGTGCTATCTTCCAAGCAGCTGGAACAGGGAAAAATCATCCATAACGTTCATACTTGATATTCAACATTCTTAATTAGATAAATTATTAATTAATCCATGGGCATATCTTCATCGCTTTTACTTTCCTTCTTTTTTTTTTTGTCTGGCTGCTCCGGGGTTGAATCATCATCGCTACTGATTGTGGCTTTTTCTAGAGCTTTTACAAACTCTTCCATGTTGCCTTCATTTGCTGCCGACACAGCATCTTGACCAACAGAGAACTGTTCCACAACAGGACCTAGCTGTCCCGACTGCAGTGCAGTGCTGAACATGCTCACAGCCTGAAAATTTGCATCGAAACAAAACGATTATGAATTAGAAAAGGTCAAGCATGGATCATTCTTGCAAGTCACAGAATTATATCAAAATTAGACATGATCACTCCAAGCGTCATGTGTCTTAGGTTGATATTGATAGAGATGTCGCAGGCAAATAGTAAAACCAGGCATTTTGTCAAATGTCTAGGCAAATATTAAAATATTCTAACGTGGATTGAAATTCTGATTCTTTTCCTAATTTTAGAAAAGTTATTTAATTGCTCCTGGAAGAAAAAATTCTCAATAAAAATTTGCATCACGCAATTGTATTTTAAACGATTTTTAGCTCCTGAACAGACACTAATCTCGAAATTTTTAGCATGTCATAAAAAACAGAATTTTGAGAAAGTAAACATTTAAAAATATGAGAAGGAATTGAAGAGGTAGAGACAAAAAGAGTAGGTTTGATGACTTATTTTTCCAAAAATATTGAAAACTCGCGAGCTCTTTGCCATAAATTCACAAAATTGTGCAAACAGTCAAAATTTAACTATCTGCCTAGGCATTTGACAAAATGCCTGATTTCACTATTTGCCTGCGACAGAGACATCACCACATCAATGACGAAAGTGCGAGACTGTTGAGTGCGAACTCTGTTAGCAACATTAGAGACTTCCGGTCATACTTCATTTTTTCCATGGAAAACTGGTTAACATAATTTCTTAAAAAAGTCCTTAATTTTTCTTCTCTCTTACTACTGTTAGTAAAATATTCTATATGAATTTTGAGCCACTAGGTTGACTTGTCCCTCTTTGGAAAAATAAACTATTAACTGAGATTTGGAAACACCGCAATGGAGATCCGTGGTTTCGACATTTGATTGTCCAAGGGGAACAGGCCTTAAAGCCAAAATATTCAACATTGAGATCAAAAATATTTTGAGCATGAACAAATTTTGTTCTCAACATTGAGTCTTACGGAGGAATAAAATTTCAAACCTCTTTTCCTCAGTTCAAACTTGATGCAAGTTAAACTTTGTGCAATGGTTCTCTTCAAAAATTTATGTCAGCCAACGAAGGTGCCTAGCCCATCACACATTGGAAAAAGATATCACTATTCAAAATTTTTTGGTGGTTTTGCGGTTTGAAAGATGACCAATACAAAATAGGAAGCTATCGCAGCTTAAGAAAACAAATCAGCAGCAACTCAAGAAAAAAGCTGTAAGAGTGGCTTCAAGATCAAAAGAGAAATTTAGGGCTGAAAAAATTGGAATTAGGTCGTGGATGCTCTTTCCAAGCTTGTGTGACCAAGCAGATCAAACTAAAGTGGTTCGGAACAGTTATTAAAATGGGCTAAGAGACCAAGTCTGCACAAGAGAAAAATGTCACAACTTTTCTATTCAAAATTTTACATAGCAAAATCTTCGCACAATAGAAAGTTCTAAAGATAACTCCTAAACGAGATATTTTTAAGTATTCTCGGAACGGACCACTTACATCTTGTTTAGAAGTTTATTTCCAAATTACCGATCTGAGATTCGTATTCCTTTCAAATTTTGAAGAAGAGACATGCAGTTGCACAGTCGACTTACTTTTTATAAATTTCTCTCAATTTCCTAACTTTCTCAGGTCGCTGTACATTTCCTGACATTCTCAGGTCGCTGTACAATTCCTAACTTTCTAGGTCTTCTAGACCAATGGGAATGCTGCATTTTTCATTTTATTCTTACCTGTTGAAATTGCGGAGAAGCTAAGGTATTGCGTAATTGGTCTTGCTGAGAGTTGGAGGTAGTAGTAGATGATAGGGAAGGTAAATGCTGCTGCAAGTTTTGAACGATACCAGGGTTACTCAGAACTGCTTGCAAGCCTTCAGCATTCAAGGCAGAGGATAAATCAACTAAAAAATAATTCATGAGTAAAAAATTAATTTCAGTTTTGTAAATCCTGTCAAAATGAATAATTAATGTCTTTGTGTTTGAAAAATTTTCAAGATACAGATCAAGGCTAGGCTAAACATAGTTGGACCTAGATTAAACTTATGTGAAAATGGATTTTGTTTCCCAGAACTCATTTCACTCGACAGCTTAGTTTCTAAAATTAATCCTCACTATTCTAATAAAATCATTTTTAAGACGCTCAATGGACCGGGTGAAGAAGAGGAGTAAGACCGTTGATAGACTGGGGTAAGGAAGGGGAGTTCGAAGTCCGTAAAAGGGAAACTCCTATACCCATCAAAACCCATTAGTGGGAAATTCCCCTTGTATTGTTGTTGACTCTAGCTTACATCCTGTTTCTCTTTATTCCTTTCATAGTTGGCTTGCGTCCTCTGTTTCTCATTATTTCATTCTAATTTGTTGATTGAGGTTTCTTTTTTTTTTAATTCTTAATAATACTGTGGATTTTTACATTCGAGTTTTCTCAGTAGGTTGAGAGTAATCAATTTCAATATGTTGATGAGGTATCTTTTTTTTTACTTTAAATTTTCTTTTGGTTGTTGAATCTTTTTTTAAATTCTTAATTATTTTAGGCAATTTCAATTTGATCGTCGGGCGATTTCGACGATTTTGCTGGCTGCGAAGCTGACCTTCGGGGGCTCGCAGCGCCCCAGGGGTTGAGCCGCGTAGCAGTCAGGGGGAGGACCCCTTGGTTTGAAATAAAAGGCATGAGGATGGAATAATGGAATTACTGTTTCACAACAAACAAGTTAACCTACTCAAATTGCACATTGTAGCAGAATTGTTACGTAATACCAAGGACAGAAAATCCTATGCCAATGCCCAACGGTTTGTTGGTATTTCTGTTGATTAAAGTTTCCAGGAATAAACTGTTCTCTCACTCTACAAAATAGGAGCTTTGTATCTATCGTTATCTTTTTCTCTGCGACCTTTACCCCATTTTTTTTAGACTCATTGGAGATATCCAGTTTCCCTGATGAAAGGCACCCTAATGTGCTATATTGAAGATTTTTAGGTGATAAACATAGGCTCATAGATGTTCGGTAGCTTCTACCGGAGGGTGGGAGGGGAATCGAGGAGCGAAAATTGAGGTATTTTTAACTCTTCAACTGGCGCCTGCAAATTGCCCAACAGTGCAGAAATTCCACAAATTTAGTAATGATTGATTCATAATTTCTAGGCCTTGAGTATGTTGAACTCAAGGAGATGTATTTAGAGAATTCAACGCATTCTTACGGCAAGTTCTTTCTTAGTCTTCTTTTTCATTATTGATGCATCATTAGGGTAGCCCAAATTTGGCAAAGTCGGAATTTTTTAGGTCTAACCCCCTAGAACTGATCCATTTGATCAAAAAACACTCTGCCAAGTTTCAGCCAAATCGGATAATATTAACCCGTGTCGACAGAGCCATCTTTTTTACATGAGATTTTACATTGAAAAAGACTTTTTTTTTTTTTTCAGAAAAATCCATTTTTCGGAAAATATGTAATTTCTAGCAAAAATCTGAGGTCATATTTGGCTTCAGCATGAAAAATTAAGTGGGAAAGCATGTATTGGACACTGCAAAAAAATCTTTTACCCCTCACTATAGCAACAAAACAACTGAAACATCCAGAAAACGCTAAAAAGGAGTAAAATGACGGTGATGAATCTCAAATAATTACGAAGGCCTGCATCCGAAAACAAAGCTCAACATATGGAGGGTGTGTAATATGTACTTTTTTATGTTGAGTCCGAAAATGCTATCCATTTTTTTCTATTCCATCAGGAGTTCCCGGGGAATCGATTTTCCTGTATAGAAAGAGGGTTTTCCAGAGAAAACTCAATTTTCAAGAAATAAACCTCAACATGTGACGGATGTTATTTATGTGATTTTTTAATGATGAGTCCAAAAATGATGACAAAGTTGCTCCATTGTATCGGGATTTTCCAGAAAATCGATTTTCTTGTAGAAACAGGGGTTTCCGGAGAAAATTCAATTTTTAGGAAATGAACAATCGACTTGTATTAGATGTTTTTGATGTGTTTTTTAACGGTGAATTCGAAAATGATAACCGTTTCCTTCTATTCCATAAGGAGTTTCTGAGGAGCTATATATTTTCCCATTTAATTTTTCCTGCTGAAGCCAAATATGACCTCAGATTTTTTCTAGAAATTACGCATTTTCCGAAAAATGGATTTTTCTGATCAAAATGTGTTTTTCACTGTAAAATCTCATGTAAAAAAGATGGCTCTGTCGGCACGGGTTAATATTATTTGATTTGGCTGAAACTTGGCAGAGTGCTTTTTAATCAAATGGATCAGTTCTAGGGGGTAAGACCAAAAAAAAATTGGGCCACCCTAATGCATCATGTTGTCTAGTATTCTTTATTTTCATGTCACGTTTTTATTCTGTACTCATTTACTTCCTTTCCTAGTCACTAGGTTCTTTAAGTATTTATTTTTCTTACGCAATAATATCCTATCAGGCTTTGCTCACAAAAAATTGTGAGATAAAATGACATACCATTTGGCCGATTTGCAGTTTCTCCTGAGGATTTAGGGCCTTTATGTGCTTGAATATCAGATAGTAAAGACTGCAGGTCTTGCAATTGGATTGCGGAAGGTGTGTAAGAAGATGAGCCTCCTGCTATAAAAGATACAAGAAAGTCATCAATGGCTAACAGGCTTATTTGTATATGTTACTGATGGTGAAAACCATTCTAGTTAAAATGGTAGTGGGCAAAAAGTAGTCAAATCAAATTATCTTACTATCATGCTAATAATCAAGCTATCTTTCTCAGGCACCTTCACGTTTTCTGTCAGATACCGACAATTCACAATTTGTTCCCTACAACTTTTTTCTTGGTGGGGGGAACTCCAATATTCTTTGGTGATGTTTTATATACCATCCTTGGTACACCACCATACCGGACGATCCGTTTTGTGAAAAAAAGTCATGCACTAGGTTCTCTTNGGGGGGGGGGGGGGACCTGTGATTTCATATGCTCTTCCTGTCCATACAAATCATAAATATCATACGTAATGTTAGGCTGCCATGCAAAAATGTAAAGAAGTTAAATAATTTGACAAACAAATCTCTCACTGCTTTTAACAAAGTACATCCATTATGGAACAAAAGTTGATTTGAGATGGAATATTCCTGTTTACACCAAAAAAGGTCTCATGAAAAGCTGTAGCTAGGAGATTGTAAAGTATAGTTCTGTTGGTTCTTTTGATTTTTTTTTTAAATAACTAAACTTTATAATATTAAGTAAAGTAAATTAGAGGTGCGCTGAGAGCAGCTCAATGATTTTGACTGTGGGCATTGTGTGGATAATACTTACATTTTGTTCTTATTTTAAAGGATATGACAAATAGTTTTCTACAGGAGAATTATAAATTCTTCTTGGCTGCATTGGTCTTTTGCAGTATAAAGGTGCTTGTCAAAGGAAAATAAATGTAAAATCGGCTGAAATAGGCTAGCCAGTGCAGCAGCATGAAAAAGGGGAACAAGTTTTTCTATAGCCCTGCTGAGTGGAGTCCCTTTGTATTCAGAGTTGCATAACCCTGTAGGTTAAGCCCTGTAGGTCCGGTTGGAGCAGGAAGATTAGACAGTTAGTAGCATTTTTCCTGATCCTTGGTTACTCATTCTCAGATTTCTTTCCTCCATTTCCACTCTTGTTCTGTTGGTTCACTGTTGCGCCCTCCGTTCAGTTGGTTCCTTGGTCAAGTCCGGTTTATAATCTTTGGAACAGGTGAAAGAGTAATATTTTTGCTCATTTATGACATTCATGAAACTAGAATGAAGCCTAAAATGAGGGCCAATCAGAAAGGATTCCATATTACGCTACTGTGGGTATGAAGAGACTCTACTGCTGATCTTTGCTTGCGAAAGACACGGGCCACCGGACAAGGTGTAGAGAAAACATCACATGTTTTCTCTACAAAATCTTACATAGAAGACGCTTGTTTACAATGCACTGTCAGCCATATTGATTAATCTTTCAAATGCATAGCTGCATTTCAGCTGCCTTTTCTGAGTGATTTTTGTTGTACTTGTTGCCCTTTTGGGCCCAAGAGCTGCATAAATTGACGTTTCCATACTCTAGTTCCACTCTAGTTATATTCTAAAGTTCCCCGAGTTCAAACCTTGTCTAGAGGTCCATAGACTGATTTAGTGGCTACGTCATTTGATATAATATCGAACCCTTGGTTTAAATGTATACAAACCTGGAATCTTGTTTCTGATTCGCGCCTTTTACGCCTGGTGGTGAAATGCGTCTAAGTGTTTCTTACAAACGACAGTTCTCATGTTTAATGAATCTTCAATTGATTTGGGACCAGTCAATGACTAAATTTTAATTAATTAACACAAGTAACTGAAGAAGAATTCGTAAATGAGGTGATCTTAGTGGGTTTTGGTTTGAACCAAGATTTCGGTATTATATCGAATGATGCAGTCACTAAATCAGTCTTTTGTGAGAAAAAGTTTTGCAGTGTAGATATTTTTGATCCATAATGATGAATTGAACTATATTTTGCAATCAGGAGGTACAATTTCTGGCTCACATTAAACACAACATACATGGCATTAGTTTTGATTAGGAGTTTTTACGTATGGGCCAAAAATTTTAGTTCATTATTGCAAAATGTAGTTCAACTATACCTGTCGCAGCAGCGGCTGGAGCAGAGGCTGTAGTGGTAGCAGGTTTAGATGAAGATTTGGCTGTTGACGGTTTCGGTGTGCTAGGTGTGGCAGTGCTACTACTGGTTGAAGAAGTTCCAGATGTTGCTCTGGGACTCACAGAACTGGAGGGGCTAAAAAGTGGGGAGCTTTGAGTAAATATTATGTTAGTGAGCATACAAAAAAACATTTTTTTTTGACTTGCATAAAAAGAAGAGCCCATTTCAGATACTTTGCCTTTTTCAATGTCGCGCAGAGTCCCGCACTCCGCGCACACAGAGAATTACGCAAAAAAATCTAAAACAGGCTCTAAGAACAGCATCCAATCTGATTTTGAGTGTTGATCTCAAAAATTATATTCGCCTTTCTCAATCAATCTAGTTTTCTCTGGAAAAATCGAAACATTCTCTGATAATGGGACTTTAACAAAACAGATAGCAGTTCGATGCACAAACCGTTTTGACAAGAGAGTCAGCAATTTCATCCACATGCGTTGAAATTCAGTATAAAATTGGACTTGATGGAGAAAACTTAAAAGTGCCTTCTTTTGGATGGAAGTTGAGACTCTTTGTCTTGAGACAAGTTACAAATGCACAATTTTTCACTAATGTCTTAGTGAGAGGTGCCTTAAGAAGGCGAATCAACGTATCATTTGATGAAATTTAAGCTGAGACAAGGACAACCTCAAAAGTCTGAGGTAATAAAGTCTTATTTCAAACTAAGATATATAAAGCCAGAAGATTTTGCAGTGTCAGTTGCTAAAAATACTTGCAAGTCCGTTTCAATCACTAATGTTTACGCATTTATGTTTATAAAATGTTGATAGTGTTATAACAGAATATTCCAGTTTGGGTTTGCAGAGGCTTCCGACTTCTTTGCCTCAAATTTAATATTGCTTTCTTCTAACGCGAAAGGCTCTGAGGAGCTTTTCCAAGCTAGAAGATGAGTTTTTTTCCGAAAGGACCCAGCACACCTCTTATGGGAAGCTGCACCGCGACTGATTGCCTTCTGACTGATGTTTTTCGATTCTCCTCAATATGCTGATCAAAAGTTATAATTGCGCCAACTTTCTACGATGCACCGTTTTCGCAAAGAACCTAAGAGAAGATTCAATTATTCGGCGATAAAAAGCCAGAAAGATTCCTCATTTCAGTACTCGAGTGAACAAATCAGGGGAACTCCCGCACTGAGCGGCAGTCTTATCTCGGATTCCGCTCGCCGTTTTGCTCGACCAAAAATCAGATTCTTGAGGAGCATAAGAACAGAAAAGTCTGAACGTCTACCAGGCGAGTGCGGGAGAGAGATAGCCTCTGAGTCAACAGGTACAGATAAGAAGACGGACACGCGCTACGTTTTTTCCTTATTTACATCGGGCCTGTCCTCAAATGCTTTGTTCTTTTTTATTCATAGTTGGCAAATAATTGAATCTTCTCTTAGGTTTTTTGCGAAAACGGTGCATCGTAGAAAGTTGGCGCAATTATAACTTTTGATCAGCATCTTGAGGAGAATCAAAAAACAAGTCAGAAGGCAATCGGTCGTGGTGCAGCTTCCCATAAGAGGTGTGCGGGGTCCTTTACTCAAGAGGTAAGTAACATCAAAGTAATTCCAGTATCATGCAGCTCAAAAAGTGACAGTAGGTAAGATCATTACCTCATGGTTCCTAAAAGACTGGAGAGACCTCCAACCTGTCTCACACCTCCAAATAATTGCATAAGCTGTTGTTGAGACATGTTAGTCAACATGTTTTGCAGATCCTCTGTGGATAAAAATAAAAAGGGTTACTATCTGTGCACTCTCGGATTATTAGAGACTTTCTGACAGGGGTGAAGAATCTTCCAAATTTTCAAGTGCTCAAGTGTTTTCATTTTTTTTTAACAGCTTTCCACAAAATTTCCCACCAATTTAAAAAAAAGATTGTTTTTTTTTTCTTTTTCCTCTGATTCTTGACCGATAAGACTTTTTCTTCATTCTACACTATTGGGGCCTTTCCAATCCACATTTATATGCCCGATAATGCGTCTGCCTGAGCTGAACCTTCTCCCTCCTCAGTCTTATACTGACACTCATGGGAGCTCAAATTGTTGGCTGTAATTGCAATTTTTGGAATTTTTTGGATTTGCTTTCCTCGCAAAACAGTGTGGACTTAGCACTATTATACCACTTTGTTACATAAAAATCGGGCCACATTTGTAGTGTTTGTTTCTCGAAAATAAAAATAAAAATAAAAAAAAAATTAGCAAGAAAATCTGGCAATGTGAAACTGAGCTAGGCTGATTCTAGCCAAAGCCATCAAATATTCTAATTTAATTCTATTTAATTCTAATTAAATACAATTGCGCTCTTGTTTTACATCAATATTCAAGATAAAAACAGTAAGAGAAAAAGAACCTGGGTTGCTGGCACCGCCACGGGACATCCCAGGTGTAGGTGGATTGTTCAGGACTTCATTGACACGTCTGCAATATTCATCATCTTTATCTGTTTTTGGTTCCTGCAAGCGAACAAAATTTTAAAATGAAGATTTGAAGCTAGTGGTTTGTAAAATTGGACTGGTGGGCAACGTGAAATTTAACTAGGATTTCACTGAAATGAAAATTCAAATTTGAAGCAGTAAAAACGACTTGTATGTACATATTTCTTAGAGTCATTAAATGATACTTTTTTCTTTCCATAAAAAGGAGCACACATACACTTATTTCACATGAGTAATCTTATGATTTTTAGCCAAAACCTTGTCTTTATTTGCGTGCAAAGACACAATATATCTCTTCAGTTTTGGTTCTCTGTTTTCCTTTTTCGCAAATCAATTTTATTCTAGTACCTACTAAGTGATTCATTCTCTCAATTCGATTTGTCTTTTTTCAAAAATCCTCCCTCCTACTCCCAGGCTCTGAACTAAAAAAAGTGATAGCATAAAAAATTGGTCATAAAGTGCTTCAGCATAATCAATTATTAAAAGGATAGTAATATTAACTTCCAACGGTCACAGAAGGTAAAGCTCAATCTAAATCTACAAGTGCACTTTTAGCATGGGACAAAGGATTCTCCATCTCTAGAAAACGTTTTTCAAGCGCAGAAACGTCTAAATAATAAGGACCAATGAAAAATAATGGCTAATTTTTTTATAAAAGAAAAAAAAATGAGAAAGAGAATCAAAACAAGTAGCTGAACTTGATGAGGACTCAAGAATTACCTGCAGCCAAAAGAAGAACTTCTTCGTTGTGGATTTAAACTTCAAATGATAAACACGACCTGTGGTGCACTGCGTAACACGTTTGAATTCACAATCATCCGGGAATATAATGAGATCCTGTGAAGAACATAAATAAGATCGAATTAATAAAATTTGGACTACATTTTTCAAGAAAAACAAGCAACAAAAAAATACCCATGTTAATAGTAATGAGGCAATCATTTGAAAAGAGGTGCAAAACCTTAAGGCTAGAGCCCGTTTCAGATTACTATGCCTCTTTTGGTGTACACTAAGGTTAGGGAACTCCCTATCTGGCACACCCCTTCGAGCACTACCCTATTCAGCTGATGATTCATTCTTTAACCAGTAGCAGATCATTATATTTTCTTGCAAACTTGTGGAATCATAGAAGGAGATGAAATTTGTTGCGTTGTTCCTTTCTCAAATCGGCTGACTCAAAGGAGAATAATTTCCACAAATTATTCTCCTTCGCAAATTAAACGCAACTGTGTATGCTAGCCCTCCAGACAGGGTTTTGTGTGCCACTTAATAATCGCTAAAGATGACCTCTTTCTATCTCTTTTCTCTTCTTCCATCCCTCTTAAAACCTTTCCTTTTACTGCTGGGAAGAGTCTTACACTTTATGTATTTTTTCCTGAGGAATCGATTCACTCCAAGTACTTGTTCAGCTCACTCGTTCATTAGGAATCGAAATGGAGAAACGGTCCATATGAAACGCCAGATTTGAGAAACAAGACCATCTTTGAAATGAGGTAGGTTATCAGTGCGAATCTCGTTCATTTTGTGATCTGTGTGTTCATTGTTCATCTTTGTCGATTCAAATTCCTTCGATTCATGAACGACTTGAGGACCTGGACGCAAGTCATTCATGAATCAAAAAGAATTGGAATCGCATGGATACCAACCTAATACAGTACTAACTTCAACTCTCATCATAGGAGCAGTCAAAGATTGTACAGTGTTAGGTTGGCATCCATGCGATTCCAATTCTTTTCGATTCATGAACAACTTGCGTCTAGTTACCGCAGTAGTGCTAAGCGCCAAACGATTTCTGATGAACTGGTCCATATTGGTGTGAATCTTCAAGGATACACGTTCCTTGCGATTACTCGTTCATTTGAACGGTCCGATTCATGAACAACCCAGAACTATTTCCTTTAGTTCCACTCCAAAATGAGATCCCATTACCAGGTTATTAGCAAATACTTGTACCGTTCCTAAATTGGAGCACGTATGTCCCCTGATGAAGGTTAGGTACCGAGCATATCAGTTTACAATAGCGATGTGGTAGGAGTCCAAAAACTGGAGCAGATCCAAAAATTTTGGCCAAAATTTACTCAAAACTTTCAGTGTTTTAAAAAATTGACAGGCCCTTTGTGAATCGATACCAAGGAGTCGAACCTAAGGGAGGTGCATCTGGAGTAACACCTTTTTACAGGGGAGCAAGGATAGGAGTTGGTCTATTATACTTACATCTTCTAGAGATCCGCTTTGTCTGTCTTTCCAGCAAAAATGCATCAATGAATCATCCGACTGATAAATGTACACAAGTCCTTTCCTTTTATCAGGACGAACCATATTACCTTTCATTGTCATTTTACCAGCCCGAAATTCGACCAAATTTTTACTCGCATTCCGCGTAGCTGCACTACCGAATAAAGCACCTCCTGCAGGCATTTTTGAAACTAATTATTCACTTTTGAAAATAAAAGCACGGTAAACTTTACTAAAATCAACTCGATGAGTTGCAGAATTGTTATCGCTCTTTTCCTCGCTTCGGCACCGCATGGATTAACCAATACTGCCTCTTCCTCATAGTGGATTCATGTCCTACTCACCTACAAAGTTGGTGTCCGATGTTTTCGGAACAGATAGTATTCTGAGGGATCAGGGAAAAGATCCGGAACCTTCATAAACCAGCCGAATTCGTTCCGGAATAAATTTTTACCGTTAATTAACACTTTTGGAGTCCTCTATTTTTATGAATCACAGAAATTCGCTTTTTTGAGCCAAATAGCAGATAGGGTAGGGCGAGTAGAGGTCTGTTAAGGTCAAGGCGGATAAAGAACAAGGTCAGATGATGGCAGGAGGAGAGGTGGATAATGGATAAGGGGTGCTGGAAGGGCGAGGGAGGATAGGTGGGGCGGGTGG